TAAACGAGAAAAATTTCAAAATTTCTTACACATTTTTACTAACCAATAAAATACTACTCCCTCCGTCCCATAACAAATTATCCATTTTTTCATTTTAGTCCGTCCCATAACAAAGTATCTATTTTTTTTTAAGTAACTGTACCATCTACCTAACATTACAAATACCTTTACAACTTACATATATTACACAAATATTATTACCTTTATATCACACATACTAATAAGGTTATTTTAGTCATTTCTATTTTATTCATATTATATCCCAATATAATATTAATATTTATAAAACTACGTGCAAAAAACAAATTGATATATTTTTTTTACGGAAGGAATATTATTTTTTAATATATTGCACTTCCACTAACTAATAAAATCCTACTAATAATTTATAACAAAACTCCAAATGTCCCTTTGGAGTGACCTTTGGAGTGGAGAGCGGGAGTATTTCTTACATTATAGGGAGAATGGAGTATTTCTTACATTATAGGGAGAATAATATTAATACTTGTTATTAAACTGAATGAATATTTTAGGATGTGCTATTGTCTCATTTATCTTGTTTATTTGAATAAGAGAGAAATGAAATTTAAGAAATAAATTATTTTTATTTTTCTCTCCTATGCAGAGAAATTGAAAGAAATAATGTTGCAGTATATATATTTTTTATTTTTATTTATCTTGTTGCACTATCTAATTTTTATAATTTTCTAAAATTATATTATTTCAATTTTACAAAAAATCAAATTTAATTTATTGGTAAAATATTTAATTTTTATAAATTTTTAAGAAATTGTACTAAAATATAATCTTAAAAAACATAATATATAATTTATATTTTTTTTTTAAAAAAAACACCAAAAATATTTTTTTATAAATTCTCATTCGTTAAAATTCTTATTTTTTCTGGTCAATCATTTATTATTGTTTGATCCATTCGTATATTTGTATTTCTTTTTTTCTTTATATTTTTCAACTGAATTATTTATTTTAATAAATAAAAGAATTAATTCTCATTCTTTATTCAATTTTATTTCTCTTCAATTCCATTTTTCAATTCTATTCTCTATTTTAATTTCTCGACAATTCCATTCTCGGTGCCATTTTGTTAATTATTGTTGTTAAGAATATTACTTCCTCTGTCCCATGTAATATAGGTGTATTACTGTAGACACGAGAATTTAGATAAAGTATAATTAGTAAGTAATTAAGAAGTGTATTAGTAAAAATAATTATTATTTAGTAAAAATAATTATATATTAAGATTAAAATAAGTAAATAATTTATTAAAATTAAGAAAATTATAAAATTTAAAATTTAAAATGCGATTAAAATGCATAATTATATTTCTAAAAATATAAAAGATAAATTATGTTGGACGGACAAAAATAAAAAAATAGAGAAAAATTATGTGGCAGCGAGAGACTACTATTAGAGAGAGTCGTACGTCCACGTTATATGGATGTGTACTTTCTGTAAGAAGGAATTGTTTTAGTGCAGTTGGGAACTATCCACATTTATTTTTGGAAACTGACACCCTGGCGCATCTCTCTCTCTATCTATCTATGCATTTATTGCCTTGCCAATAAATTTTAAATATTAATTACAACACAGTGCATTGTCGCCTAATTATTATTATATTATTATTAAAATTATCACATGCAAATAATTGCTTTTTAATGATAATAAATATTGGATGTAATTTTATTTTGAAATTTTACATTATAATATTATGAAAACGCATACATTTGTATATATATAGTTTTTGAATAAACATATTTTAAATTTTTTGATATTTATTACTCAATCCGTCGTCCAAATGTGTGCTCAGTTGACTGGGCATAAATTTTAATAAAAGTGAGTAATAATTTTTATTTTTTTTCTTTTATAATAAAAAATACAGAAGTATAATGATTTTTTATTTAACAAAAAAATGAAAATATTTTTCGATGACAACAAAAAAGGAAAGTGAGCATAGATTTGAATGAGGGATGGAGTATCAATTTGGTATAAAGTATGTATAAAAATAGCTGTATAAAAATAACTGAAAAATGAAATATTGTCGTATCGCACCTCTGAAATTGATATATATTACTCCCTTTCGTCCCAAAAGAGATGTCTTATTGAGAGTTGACACGAGAATTAAGGAATAATAATATTTAATTGAAAGTGGATATAAAGTAGAATATAAATAACTAAAATGTCCTTGCTTTTTGAAGGATTTTAAAGAGTATGTTAGAGTAATAATTAGGGATAGTATGAAAAAATATGAATAATTTTGTTATAAAATGTGGACTACAAACTACTAAATAAGAAAACAAGACAATTATTTTGAAACAGACGAAAATGAAAAAACAAGACAACTTTTTTGGGACGGGGAGAATATCAATTTTAGTATCAAATATTGATGTGAATTTATTTATATATATTTATTAAGATACTATTTATATATTTATTTAATATTGAGTTAACGCCAAATTTTATTATTAGAAATTGATATTGAGGGTATGTAATAATACTTTAGTACCAAATGATATTTTTAGTGACTACTGATTAAATATAAAATTGTTTAGATACAAACTTTATTTAAATGACTAAAATATTAATTAATGCCACACATTCAAGATACATTTATTCCAAAAATTATATTAGATCATTGTTGAATTAATTACATAAATTTTATTTAACCAAACCAATATGATTATTAGCCAAAATTATGAGCAAACCATCATTTGGTCAAAGGCAACCTCACACACATGTGATTCTCATTATTCTCAAATTATATATGTGAATATATATATATATATATATTATTTCAATTATTTTATAATCAAATATGCATTTTATTGTAATTTTTTAAAATTAAAATATAAAATTAGAATAGAAAATTTCAAACAAATTTGAAACAATTATATCACGAGGGTGTTTGGAAAATAACTTATTGAACAGTTTTTAGCTGTTTGACCAGTCAAAAAGTTAATTTAGGTGTTTGGTAAATTAGCTTTTTGAAAGAGTTTTTTAGACCCAAAAAGCTAATTTCTCAAAAGCTAATCTACTAGCGTCTTGAATAGAGCTTTTTCATTTTAATATTGGTTATTCATTATTTACTCTTAAAACTTAATTATTTATTTTATACATATAAATATATTTTTATAGCAGTATTTATTAATTATGTTTAATATATCCAATTTATTAAATTATATTTTTATTTTTTAAAATTTAAAATAATTACTATTATTAATTATTACATATAAATTATTTTACTTGTAAAATATATAAAGTTTTAAAACTAAATCAAATAAAAAAATAAAGGTTATTAATTTATTTATATATATTAAAACAATAACTAACATAATAAAAATATATTTACGAAAGATTTATATTTTTATATTTAAATAATTTAAATAAAAAAATTATTATTATTTAGTAAAAATAATTTTCTCAAATTTAAATACTAAAAATAAAAATAAATATTTTATAATATTTTTATAATTTTGAATAATTAATAACAAGAATTTTTATAAATTTCAAGCCAAAATGAACAAAATTAAATATTTTAGAAAATAACGTATCAATGTATTTAATAGTCATTTTATGTATAAACAGCTAATGTCAAAAAGTTGTTTTACCAAACACTTTAATACAAACAACTAATTGAATGAGCTAGTCAAACTAGCTAATTAATCAGCTAACAGCTAATTGAATCAGCTAACAACTAAAAGTTATCAGCTAATTGCCAAACACACACCATCTCTGCTTGTATTTTAATTTCAACTTATTTATTTATTGTACAATCATCATGATTGTCTATAAATATAAATAATTTTTTTCTTTTTATAAAATATTTATATCTAAATGATTATTCAAATAAAAAATCAAATTTAAAATACAAAATCAATCTTGAACCAAAAAAAAAAACTTCTTGGTGTGTGTTTTTTAGCATTTCAAAAATGCTTTTATTTTCAGTATTTTTAGGTGAAATAGTTTATTTTTATTGAATATGTATAAATTTATTGAAATAAGTTGGATTGTATAAAAAATTAAAGAGAACATAACACAGTTGAATACAATAATTAATTATTAATCTTGTTTATAATAATTAAATAAGGGAAAAAATAATTATATTAAATAGAAATACATGTTTTGTTTAGTTTGGGTTTGTGTAACAATGCAATGAATTTTGTTTAATTAATATTATTTTATAAAAAATAATATATTTTTATTTAAAGTTATGTGTGAGAAGAAAATAAGTGAAAATATATTAAATAAGGATATTTTAGTACTTTTGATGTGTAGAGAGTGAGTATAAAAAAATTATCAAAATAGAGACTAAAGAAGAAAAAAGAGAGTAAATGAAAATTGATTTTAAAATTAAAGAGTTAAATAGAAATTACCTTTTATTTCATTGATATTTATTTATTTATGATATAATATATTATATAAGATTAAATAAATTTAAAATATATATTTAAATTATAATTTCACGATTACAAATTCACACCCAGCACTCAGACTGTTATTTTATCACTTTTAGGTCATAGCTCGTCTAAAAAAAACTAATAGTAACAAAATTGATCATTTATTTTTTCAAATATATTTCTAGTAACTTTATATGTATAATACTTATAATTAAATATGGGTTTACAACTAGCATCAAATTTAAACGAAAAATATTTATATATACTTTAGTTTAATACAAAATAATTCATACTACAATAAATAAAATATTTACTTTTATTTTATATATTTATAATAAAAAATAAAATAAAATATTATACTACCATTTACCCAAACTAACGAGCAACACAACCGCCGCCATATTTTTAATATGAAATGTGAAAATATTTGGTGGGAAGGCATCGGTAATTTCACTGTTCCATGTGGCCTATGTCAAATATATAATTATTAATTAATTAATTAATTAAATTGGTGAATAAATAAATAAAATTAATATTAAATTTATTTATTTATTTATTGGTGTTTTCAAACATGCCATTGTCATGATAGCTTTTACACTGCTACTACTACAGCGCTGCTCCTCTGCTCTGCTGCACTTCTCTCCTATATCTAATTATCTCTACGTTTCCTCTCCCTGCAATTCTCTCCAATTCCATCCTTCTTCTCCAATTTTCTCTGATCTTCTTCCTTCCTAACAGCTTCCAGATCATTTGATCTGTTGCCTAGCCAGGAAGTGCTTTGAAAATTCGATTCTCTGTCTGTTTGTTTGATTGTTTGTTTTTGCAGTTCAATTGGTGTGGAGACTGGAGATCACAGCCATGGCGGCGCTTGAAACGTGGTTGGTGAAGGTGAGGAAGACGATTGCGCAGGGATTGGATTCAGTACGGGCGGCGCCGCCGGCGACGAAGAAGATTGCGATCAGGAAATCGAACGTCGGCGTTTTGGCGTTCGAGATCGCGGGAATGATGTCGAAGCTTGTACACCTGTGGCAGTCGCTATCGGACGCGAGCATCGCGCGTCTCCGCGGCGAGGCGATATGCCTGGAAGGTGTTCGGAAAATTGTCTCCAACGACGACGCATTCCTCCTCGGATTAGCCTGCGCGGAACTCGCTGAAAACCTCCGATTGATCGCGAAATCCGTCGCGCGTATGAGCAGCAGGTGCGAGGATCCCAACCTCCGACGCTTCGATCGGTTGTTCGACGAGTTTGCCAACAGTGGCCGCGATCCGCACACCTGGCTGCTCAACGCCAAAGAAATGGAGATTAAGATGCGGAAATTGGACAGGCTCGTCGGCGCCGCTGCCGCCTTGCACCGCGAAATGGACGAACTGGTGGCGCTGGAGAACGGATTGAAGAAATCTGCACACAGCAAAGAGAACGATGCCTCGATTAAAGCGAAGAAGATAACGGATTTGCAGCAGAAGATCATCTGGCAAAGGCAGCAAGTAAAGTACTCTAAGGAGAAATGTCTATGGTCTAGAAGCTTCGATACAGTTATATCCACCCTCGCAAAATGCGTGTTCACCATTCTCGCAAGGATCAAGCTCGTGTTCGGAGTCAACCATGGCTTCCCAATCTCATTACCCCGCAGCCTCTCCGCCTCTGCTCTGGTCCATCCATGGGAGACCACCACCAACACTCCTGGCTTCGTCTCCGGTCCATTGACCAAAACCTCTCCAAACCTACAGCCTCGCGAAGGATTCTTCGATCTAAATTCGAAAATCCTAAAACCTCCTCCAACAACGCTAGGCGCAGCAGCACTTTCGCTGCACTACTCGAATCTGATAATCGTAATGGAGAAGATGATCCGGTCGCCGCAGCTGGTAGGCGCCGACGCAAGAGACGATCTCTACTCCATGCTTCCGAATTCGATCCGTTTCGCTCTCCGAAGACGCCTGAAAGGCGTCGGCTTCTCCGCGAGCGATCCTTTCCTCGCCGGAGAATGGCGAGATGCTCTGCAGAAGATCCTCGGCTGGTTATCGCCATTAGCACACAATATGATCAGATGGCAGAGTGAAAGGAGCTTCGAGCACCAGAATTTGGTTCCAAAAACGAATGTTCTTCTTCTGCAAACGCTCCATTTCGCCAATCAGGATAAGACCGAGGCAGCCATAACCGAGCTGCTCGTAGGTCTGAATTACATTTGGAGATTCGAAAGGGAGATGAACGCTAAGGCAATTCTCCAGTACAGTAACTTCAATGGATCATTATGCATGATGAACAGCTCGCCATCACCACAAGGTCAGAGCTAAATCCTTTTCTTCCTATATTTTTTCTGTGCCTTTAGTTTACTCTTTTCTTTTTTGGGAGGGGATTTTAATTTTGATTGATCATTAGAAATCATATATATATATATATATAATCTTGCATTCAACTTATGCTCCAGATCTGTGAGGATAGCTTTGTGCATCTAACCCCTGATCTGTATCTGTAACATATATTATGATTGTGATGATGAAATGTAAATTATGATCAAGGGTTGAATTGAACAAATATTTAGATCATAATCTACACTTGATTGGGGAATTTTTTTTTTTTTTTTTGAATCCACCATGTGAACATATTCTTCTTGGCCATGCATTGGCATGATTAGACGTGGAGAATTTGGATCCAGATTTCTTCAAGTGTGGGCAATATATATATATATATATATGATATTGTCCCAAAGAAAATTAAATAATATCACACTGCTGCTATGGTATGATTAGCTGTGGGGCTTGGGATTGAATTAAATTTTGTTGTAGATTAGGTTGAGGGCATGTTTTAATATTTATTGATTGATTTATGAATATATGTGTGGGGATTTTTGCAATTTTTATTTAATTGGTGGGTTATGTATATATATAATTATAGTATATGTATAAATCAAGGCTCATTTTTCCAGCGTTTATGGTTGCCAGCCATATATGCAAAATAAATAAATAAGAAATTTGAATTATGGTTGGTGACCATAGTGCATGTGCGCATCATTAGATAAATGGGCCTTCTCAATTATATACTAGTATATAATTTCAAGAAAATAAAATAATAAAGATAGAAATATTATAGAAATAGGCTTTATTTTATTATTCCTAGTTTGAATATTCCTTTTATTGAAAGAAGTTGTGAATTGCCTTTTATGTTAGTGTCAAATTTTTTTGCCTGATTATTACATAAGTGGATGAATACATGTAGTTTAGGTACGGACTTTAATTTATTTTAATTTCGTGTATATAATAATAATATTAGCAATTGACGCTTTACCATCCAAAATTTTACTGTACTTATTTAATATTGGAAGTGGAATTGAAAGGGATGAAAAGTGAGTCAAATCAATTCTCATTGTAATGTTTGGTGAGAATGTGACAGCAGTGCAGCAATTTGTAGCATAAATTATTTTATATGGATGCTTCTTCACCAATATATTTTATTGCTACTTGAACAACAATTTTAGTGTGAGTTTGGTATTATGAAATTATTGTTGATCTCTATGTGTGTGTAGAGCTTTATCGATCCGAGTCGAGCCGAGCCGAGCCAAATTTTAAATGTTCATTAATTTTCGCGAATAAGGTTCGTGTTCGTTCGTTAAGCTTTCGAGTTCGTTCGTAGTGTTCGAGCTCAGCTCGTTGAAAATTTTTGTTGCTTGAGCTCGTGTTCGTGTTCGGCTCCTTTAGGCTCGATTAAGCTCGTTCGAGCTCGTTTGTCTTTTTTTTTTTAATTTATATATAAATTATAAAGAAAATTTAAAATTATTTTATTTATATATTTTAAATTAATATTTTATTTATTTATAAATTATAAATTTATATGTATATATAATATTTATAATAAATATATTATTTAATCAAATGTTCGCGAATAAAGCTCGGGCTCGTTCATTAATCAAACGAGCCTGTTTATGTTGTTCAGTTTGACTCGTTAACGTTCGCGAACGAGCTTTAAATGAACCGAATCAAGCCGAATCAAACCGAGTTTACGAACGGCTCGGTTCGTTTAACAGCTCTACGTGTGTGTTTGTTTTTTTTTTTTTAATTGTTTTATTGTTCAAACTCTCACCATTTTTTGTATAGAAATACAATTTCATTTGATAAAATATGGAATTATAATATACTTTCGGTTCGATAAATTTAGAACATTTGAATTGGTACAAAAATTTCAAAAAATATTTTATTCGAAAAGTGATAAAAATATAAAGATAATTAAGAATATTTTTGAAAATTTAATTAGAAATTAAAAAGATTTGAGAGAAACAATAGTAAAATTTGTTATAAATAAGTGTTGAATGAAGAATAATAAATATTGATTTTACTAAAATTGACGGAGAGAGTATTATATAAATTAATACTATAATAAGTGAAAAAACACATTTGAACGTGTTTATTTAATACTCACTTCGTCCACAAACTAATGTCCTACTTTGGGACGTCCAATAACTATTGTTCTATTTTTTTTTAAACACAAATTTACATTTTTACCCTTCATTCATTTATTACTTTTAATCTCTACTATACAATTAAGGGCAAATTTGTCAATTCATAACAAAAAAATAATTATCTAAAAAATCGTATAAATATACTTTAGAACAATAGAAATTGAAAGGAGAATATATTTTAGAGCGACATGGTTCTTAAAAATACTACCTAAAAGATATTATATATTCAAACAATAATACTAATAATTAACAAAAAGCAAACAATATAGGTAAAGGAATTCTAAATATATTGAGTTTGTTTTGAAATTTGAGTTTGTATTTTAATTTTAATAATGATTTGAACTTTTATAATATCGTATTTTATTCAGTATTGTGAAAATTGTATATTAAATAAATTGAAACTAAAAAAGTGAGCCAATTATATTCAATTTATTTAAAATATTATATATATATATATATATATATTATACGTTCAGAGATTATTATACTAAATGGAAAAAATTAGCACAAGCTTGTGAGTTATGATTTTTCCATTAACCACATTTGAAGTATAGAAACAACACAAACCATATAGCTGTATTGCATGTTATTATAGAACAAACAACACATATTACATTAAGAGACAATATAATATATAATTAAATTAAGCACAATTAGTGTCCCTAAGAGATGGTCTGGTGGTGTGAGGTTTGGAGGCCGTGAGGTCATGAGTTTAAACCCCCGACACTTCAGGTCACTTGTTATACATGATTTGTCTAATATGATTTTCGATAGCAACTACGAATTCCCTTAAAAATCTATCTATTTTTCCATTTTGGTCTACTAACATTATAAATACCCTTAGATATATAAATATAAAACGGAGGGAGTATAATATATGAACCTTAACATAGTTCTATACAAAACATATTAATATTAATTTTAGCAAAAAATATATATATTATATTAAATAAAAGTATATATCATTTCTCTATTTTATACGTGCCGACTTAAAGAGAAAAAAAAAAAAGAAAAAAAACAACACCTTAAGCATTTCCACAAATAAAACAAGTCATCTCTAACAGTAGCAGGAATGTTGGAATTTGGTAGGTTTTACTTTCAAACAAAAATCACAAATGTTTAGTGTGCACCGTTATTAATTAAAATATACCCATCCTCTCTGTTTTAAAAATATACATTTATTTTTCACACAAATTTTAAAAAAATAATAATATTTCAATTGTAACATATTGTTAAAAATAATATAAATACAATTTTACTTTTACTTTTTGATATAAAAATAATAATATGATGATGCACTAAGGATGTGTTTGTTTGGGGGTTTGGATTTTGAACTGGGATTTGAATAGTAAAAATTTTGAATTTGAATAGTTGTATGATATAAATAGGTGTTGATGTGATATTTTGAATGGAAAATTGATTTTTAGTATAATATAAAAAATGAAAAATAAGTGTTTGATTTGATATTTTTTAAGAAAAAAATAAGATGAATAGTGGATTTAAAATCCAATCCCCAAACAAACACACCCTAAAAGTATTTGTTCAAAAAAAATAGAAACCAAAATGATTACAGATTGAAATATATATACTTTATCGGTGGATAAAAAATAATAATAATAATAATAATAATATTTTCTCTAATAAAATATCACATTCAAATACTATTTAAATGAATAAAAGAGAGGCACTTATTCATTTTCAAAAAACCGTTAGGTAAGCCTAATTTTCCAAACAAATGGTTTAGTTAACATGCAACAATGAGGTTAGTTACAACCCTACTACTCCACTCTACTACCCATATATACACACACATATACATACACACATATACATATACATACATATATATATATATGCATGATTTCATTCACTCAGGACATTCTATAAACGATTTTAAGCCTCAAAAAAAAAGAACTCAAAAAAAAAAATGGAAGAAGAAAGATTACCTTCAAAGAGCCATAGAAGCAGAGACAGACAGCCCATATCAGTTCCCTTCATATGGGAAGACAAGCCTGGCATCCCCAAAAAACACTGGAAACCGACTCCGCGGCTGCTACCCGAAAATCCTATCGTCGCACCACCAGCAAAGCTCGTCGTATCGATCCCCTTCGGATGGGAAGAGAAGCCCGGCACGCCGCTCCCGTTCTTTTCAAAACCCGATAAACAAGATCCCGTCTTTATCCCGACCTCGGACCTCAGCTATGTCGATAACGATCACGACGGGTGGATTGGATTATCGGACGCTGAGATCATCGATACGGGCAGCTTCGAAACGTACGATTCGTTCAGCTCAGCTAGATCGACCAACCCATTTGTTGATCCTGTGCGATCGCCGGATTCGGAAACTGAGAGCGTCGACTATGCCGGGACGCCGTTCTTGGAGTGGCTGTTTCCTCTGCTAGCGACAAATTCGAACGAATCAAAATGTGGTGAAGTTGATACACCGGAAATGGGTTTGCAGGGGACGGAGTGGCTGCGGGAAAACGGCGGCAGTCGAGCCGGAAAACCGCTGCTTACGCTGGAAGAGCTCATCATGATGAGTAGAAGAAGAAGCTGCCAAAGGAAAATCATACAGTTGAATAAACAGAGATCAATGGTAACTCTAAATTCCCTGCTGCTGTTCATCACATTTGTTCATATAGAAATCAATCGCCCTAAACAAAATTACAGAATAAATAATAGCCACACCAATGAGACTTGCTTCTGATCTTTCTTAAACATTTTATATATTGTTAAAAAAAATCGCCAACTAAACACATCGACAAATACTTCTCTAGAAGATTCCCATTTCACATTACTCTTTTTTACTTGATTCATCATCTTCGCATTACATTGTCTTCTCTATATAACTGCATTTTTTCTTTACATTTTTATCAAATGAATTCTATGTTTTGCCGAGCAAAGAATCAATTCTCATTCTATAGTACTAGGACTTTGTGCTGAAATATAGGATTATAACACAAGTTTCAGTTATACAAGAAATGCAGTATTGTATGCATTTAAATGGAAAAAAAAAAAAAAACATGTAATTAATTTTACCTATTTGAATGGCAGGATTTCATGAAGGGGAATGCTCTTGGCTGCTGCATCTTTGGAAGCAACACCATTCCGCTTCCTCTCAAGTGGAAGAGACAACTGCAAATCAAGTTAATGTAACCAAATCAGCTTTCCAGCAATCCATTAAGAAGAAGAAGAAGAAGAAGAAAACACATCGGACATTTCTCTTTCCATTGTACAATTCTCATATTTCAACTGTAATGGGCAAAAACGAACTGAATGGAATCAATAGAACAATTTCCGAAATGCATCATCCATACAAACTTCAACGCTTCTGTATTCGAAGAACTCACAAATCTGCCTATTTGTGTTAACGTATTATGATCCTAAATTCCTAATTCCTATCCATCGATTAAATTGAACTTTCAGGCGACAAGCGAGACCAAATAAACAGAGCAGAAGCAAAAATCATTGCAATAATTAGAACTACAACATTCGATGTTCGCTGCAATGAGATCGATAAATTAAATAAGCACAAACTCCGATTCACATTCACGAAAACCGCAGGAACAGCGGGAGATCATCTCGCGAAGCGCAAAGCAACAATTTGCGAAACGCCGGGATAAAATAGATAGAGAGAGGATTACACATACGGATTCACGATACGCGCATGAACTACCAGGACCTTCATCGTCTTCCGACACGACGGCGTCGCATCCGTTCTGCCACCGGACCTCTGCCATTTACGCCCAGTTCCAGTTCTGCAACACTTTCTATAGAAAATGAAAAGAGACTCAAATTCGATAAGCTCTTATGGGCCACGCAAAGTCTCCTCCCGGCCCAAACCGGAAAGCTTAAAAGCCCGACCCAACTTCTTAAATACGGATCGAATAATTGAAATCATACACCCAAAAAAAACTACCTAATTATATTATACCTTAAAAAATATCAAAATTTTGATATATATATTTTCGAATTTTACTTTTACATTAGAATTTTACACATCAACAAAGAACAAATACCAAATGAAAAGTGTAAAAAAAATAAAATAATACTTCATCTATCCATCAAATGTATTCTCATTGTCATTTTCAGTTGTTAACTAAATTTATTCCGTTACTAATTTTGGCAAACTCAACAAATCAATATTTAATTATTATATTTTATTTAACATTTATTTACAACAAATACCATTAATTTTATTACATTCTTTCTTTTATTTACTTTATTTTTTAATTAAATTTTTAAAAATACTTTAAACTACCTCACTTTTTTAATAAAATATTAATTTTTTAATTATCATGCAAATCCAAATGAACTAATTTTAATAAAACGAGAGAGTAATAATAAATATTTATATATAAAAAAGAAAGTTATAAATATTGTAAAATATTCCAAATTAAGACTGTGTGTGTGTGAAATTGTCAAATTGCTCATTATATTTATATTTTAATATTTAAAATAAAATTTAGAAGTGTGTGGAAATGATGACCAGTTATTTATTTTAGGGGCAACATCGACCACTCGTTATCTCCCTCATCAATTTTACTTTGTCTTATATTATGTTGTTCATAGCATGGCTTGTGTCCACCACACCTTTATTCCCTAAACCCAATCCTCTATAGGTCATCATCATCCATGGCCTCTTTTTCCATCACCACCACCAATGTTTATGCTTACTACACCGGCGGAAAATCTCGCCGGAGGATGCCGGCGGTGAGGGCGGAGGCCGTCAATCCCGACATCCGAAAAAGCGAAGACAAAGTGGTCGATTCCGTTCTCGTCGCCGATCTTGCTAAGCCCGTCACTCCCTATTGCAGGTATATATAATTGATATTATTTTTTGTATGCGTTGATTTTTAAATATTAATTATTATATTAAAACGTAAGAAAAATTTGTAAAAATACTTCTATCAGTGTCTTCTAATACTAATACTAATAGAATGACATTTGTAGGAGAAATTAAATAAATATAAATATAAGAATATTTTTAATGTTAAGTAGCAAAAGGCAGACGGACTGAAAAAGTATAAGACAAAATTACTTATAACCCACATTTGATTTAAAAAGTTTGCACAATTTTTCCTTTAATTTAAGAATTGTATTAGCTTTTCTGTATTTTAGTGTGTTTCTTCTGGTTGAGTTTGAAAAATTTTGGTTTGAATTTGACATTAAAATAATGTTTGATGAGATGTTTTTGTGAGAAGAAAAAATACATTTTTTTTAAAAAACACAGAATCTAAATAATAAAATTTGAGAAAATTGTGGTAAAAAAATATAGGAGCTTTTTTGTGCTTTGAAAATATTGCAAAGAGTCATTTAATTGATTATGTATCGAGTTTCTCAGAGCTTTTAAATCATCATAAAGAAGAATAATGTATATTTTTTGAGTCACAAATGAATTATAAATAATTTTATCTCAAAGTAATTTTTTTTTTTTTTTTACTAACTATACAAATTCTATAAGGTGTTGGAGGTCGGGGACGTTTCCTTTATGTGATGGGAGCCATTTGAAGCACAATAAGGCGACCGGCGACAACGTTGGCCCGTTGCTTTTGAAGAAGCAGTGAATTTGAATTTAAATTTTGAATTTAAATAAATGTAACACTGTTATTGTTGCAACTACTAGTATTATAATTAGAACATCATATTTACCTTTTTATGTGATTAATGTTAATTGTAAGGTCTAATATAGTTTTTTTTTTCTTTTTTTCTCTCTTTTCTTAATTAAAAATAATAATAATAAAAAATTAAGTATTTAATTTGATATCTGTAAAAAAAAAAAATAATATTTAATATAATAATTTTTGTAAAAGTTTGCTATTGATAAATAGTAATACTAACTTTGAAGAGTGTATGTAAATGAGAGTAAAGTTTTGAATTGATTTGGAAATAGCAAAAACAAAAAAGTAGATAAATAATACTAGATAAAGTAATAGATGTAATCTTTTAAATGAGAAATAAAGGTTAGTTTGGTTTTGTCCAAATTTATATTATTTTTACTATTTTTGTTGGTTATATTTAAAATATTTTTTTCTTCTAATTTTAATAAAAAATTATATTTAAACATCAAAATATTTATAATTTTCACAAATATATTTATTTATTTATACTTTCAAAAAGAAATTGTCAAAATCATTATTAACACTTATCTGACTAATAAAATATTACTCATTTCGAGTACCGTATCTCATAAATACTACTATGATTTAAGATAATTAATCAGTATAATTAAAAATTTTAAAAAATTATAATTAAATTTTTTAAAATTAGATTAAAATTAAAAATAAATAAACAAACGAAAATAAAAAAATGAACACAATAAACGAAACGAGAGAAGTATTATATAAACAAACAAAAACAATAGAAACAATATACTCCCCGGTCCAAACAATAAGTATATATTTAGTTTTGGTAAAAATAGTATAATGATATTTTTGCACGATGTGCTGTAAAGTAAAAGTATTTGTGACAAAAAATAAAATATTTAATTAAATGATTATTTTGTAATTGAAACTTATATGTATATTTGTAGCTGACAGATGAAGTATTATATTAAAAACCAATTATATATAAAACATCATATCATTTTGCTATTTATATAGCAGGAACCAATTATTTGCGCGCAGTTTACACAGTACATTCTCACTCATTTGTCATTATTTATTTTTCAGAAAACCTCCAAAAAAAAAATTTTCTCACAAAACATCAAATTAAATACTAATTTTTTAATTTTTTTTTTCAAAATTCCAAATTAAAAAAAAAAAAAAAACCTCCAAAAACTGGAATTCAAAATTTGAGTACTCAAATCAAAAATAAAAAACCCCAAAAGCAAACACAGAGTTGGACTACACAACTTCCACTATCACCACATCACCATCAGTCGTTCTTGATCGTCATTTTCCATACGCTCACAATCTTCGCCAGCTTGCCATCTCTATCTACCCACTCATCATCATCATCATCACACCATTTCAGTTTGACTCCACCATCACTCGCTGCTCTCACTTCCTCAATCAATAACAAAATAACAATTAACAAAATTGAAGAATCAAAACAATCCGATCGATCACTCTCCGCAACAATGGAATTTCTGAAAAATCCCCTAATTATCACCGCCCTAATTGCAATTCTAGCGGCGGCGGCGGTAATTAGGGTTTCGAGGAAGGGGAAAAAGAAGGATACGAGAAAATACCATCCGATCGCCGGCACGATCTTCCATCTGCTCCTGAATTACCGTCGGCTGTACGATTACCTCACCGAACTCACCCGCATAAACAGCACGTTCCGGATTCTGTACCTCGACAACACAGAGATCTACACCTCCGATCCCGCCAACGTCGAGTACTTCCTCAAAACCAACTTCGCCAACTTCGGCAAGGTACTTATCACCTGCCTTTCTAAAGTCGTGTTTCCAAAATATCAGATGTGCTGCAAAAGCGTTTATGATCAAAGGAAAGTCGTGTTTTCTGTATTGAGTAATTTAATTTATTATTTACTAGTTTTTATTATATTTGACTATATTTGTTAAATTAAATTGTTATTATTATTTAAATCTATAAGTATTGATTTCATCATTAATAATATATCATTCTTTAAATTCTCTGTGAAAATATTTCATGGCATCAAAATCACGAATACAGTCTCCTCATTTTTAAATTTGTTTGCAATTTATTTTTCGTTAAATTTGCTTTTTAATTTCAATAAATTTTATGTTCAACTTTTGGTTATTTGTCGTAATTCTATTCAATTTTTTTTTTTTTTCAGCTACATTGAAAATCTTATTTTTGATTCTAAGTCCATTACGAGTAATTATATTTCTAACTTTGACTCTGGTATGAGTTCATCCCATCTCCAAGTCTCCAACTACTTCATTGCGAGCAAGTCTTTATTCCGATTCTAACTTAGATGACAATGCTACATTTAACTACATCCACTTCGATCTTTCTTAGCAAAACAAATGGATAAATATTTTATATATTTAATTTATAATTTATATTAATTTTTAATTATAAATTGTCATTATTTAGTTATATACTCCATCAGTCACGCCCCAAAAGAAATAATACTCCCTTCGTCTCCGTCCACGTCTAAGGATTACATTTATAACTTCACAAAATGTAGGGTTCGTACCACCATGACGTCCTGGAAGGTCTTCTCGGCGACGGAATCTTCACCGTAGACGGCGAAAAGTGGAGGCAGCAACGAAAGCTATCCAGCTACGAATTCTCTACAAGGAACCTCAAGGAATTCAGCACCGGCGTCTTCAAGAGCAACGCCGCCAAGCTCGCCGGAATAATCTCCGCTGCCGCCGCCGCAAATCAAATAATCGAAATTCAAGTAAGCAAATCAACAATCACCAATCATCAATCCATTCGCAATGTCGCAATCGATCGATCTAATCCATCGCAAACTGCAGGACCTGTTCACAAAAGCTGCATTAGATTCAGTATTCAACGTCATGCTCGGCGTCGACTTAAACAGCACGGCGGGGACGGACAACGGGACGCAGTTCTGCAAGGCGTTCGACGAAGCCAGCGACATGACGTGCTATCGCTACGTCGACATATCGTGGCCAATCAAGAAGTTCCTAAACATCGGATCAGAGGCAAAGTTGAAGAAATGCAAGAAAGTGGTCGACGAATTCGTTTACCAGGTCATCAGCAGGAAGATCGAGCAGATGAATGGCTGCGATCAATCCGCGACTAAATTGGACATTCTCTCGAGGTTCCTGGAAAAAAACGAGGCCGATCCGAAGTACCTAAAAGATATAATACTAAGTTTTATCATAGCAGGGAAGGATACAACAGGCAGCACACTTTCCTGGTTCTTCTACATGATGTGCAAGCACCCGAATACGCAGGAAAAGATCTTCAAAGAAATCCGGGGCGCTGCGAAAATCGGGGAAACTTCGAGAATCGAGGAGATCGTCGCGAGGGTTACGGAAGAAGCCCTCGACAAAATGCAGCTTCTCCAGGCTGCCCTGAGCGAAACGCTCCGGCTGTATCCAGCTGTTCCTGCAGTAATAATAAAAGCTATTCATTAGTCGAAATCTAGAAATACGTAAATTCTATTACATGCTTATAATCATTATCCCCGATGTACCAGGATGGGAAGATGTGTTTTTCAGACGACACATTCCCGGATGGATTCAGCGTCAAGAAAGGGAATTTGGTGGCGTACGTACCGTACTCCATGGGGAGGATGAAATCGCTGTGGGGTGAGGATGCAGAGGAGTTTCGCCCTGAGAGATGGCTGGATGAGAATGGGATCTTCCGGAACGAAAGCCCGTTCAAATTCGCCGCCTTTCAGGCACGGAGGATTTCATTGCGCGCCCTGTGTAAGGAAATGGTTTGTTTTAGATAATAAGTGTCTGAATCGATAATATTGTTGCAGGCCGGGCCGAGGATCTGTCTGGGGAAAGAGTTTGCTTACCGGCAGATGAAGGTTTTCGTGGCGGTGTTGCTGTGTGCCTTCTCGTTTAGGTTAGCGGATGAGCAGAAACCGGTGAATTATCGAATGCTTCTGACTTTGCAGATCGATGGAGGCCTCCATCTTCGTGCTGTATCAAGAAAAAAAGCATTGGAATAGAGTATGAAAAGCTTCCCTACTTTTATTATCATGTAATAGTTTGCTTGCATATTACTATGAAATAATATGATTTTTAGGTGTACTAATGACATGTGAGATATTCATTTTCCCTTTACTCTTGTTTACAAAAAAATTGCATTGTTTACTTTTAACAAAAAATTCTTTCACATTTCTTAATAGTATATTTTAACATTACACTTATTTACAAATATGCCACAATTATTTTCAGTCAATTTATCTCAAATTTCACTCACCTCATTAATTCACTCGTATATTTTTTAAAAAACTTTTACTTTATATCACAATCAATGTCATTGGTGTTTATGCCACTTTACTTGGATAGACTAAGAAATAAAAATATTTTAATGTAAAAGGAAAATGGAATAGGTAAGAAGTAAAGTGGAGCAGTAAAAAGTAAAGTGGATGTATTATAAAATATTTATTAAAAATATTTAAAAAAATTGTGTGATAAGTAGAAAAAATAATAGCAAACTATTATTTTGTTAAAGTGCGAGTAATAAGATTATGAATGAATAAATTTTTTTTCTATAAATGAATTGTGCATAAATTACAAGGGACAGCAAAAAACAAAAGCTAACATATTATAATGGAATGAGGGAGGAAGTATTATATATCGTGTGTTAAGATATTTTAGATAATCGATTTTATATTTACGAGTTTGTTTTGTATTGTCTATATATAAATCCCGTATTGACAACATAAAATATAGATCGATAGCACATAAGATATAAAAATGAACAGACAGTAACAACCTACGCTTCACATCTTGTATTAATTTAAAATATGTATCGGCTTCACATCTTGTATTAATTTAAAATATGTATCGGCGCGGTCCATATTTCATATCCTGTCTAAAAAAGTGTTGATTAATCCCTAAACCCTAGCCCTTAATCAGCACCCTAAATATTATCCATCATGCAGAACTTTTTTTTTGCCTAGACATTTTCATCAAGAGTATTGACAACCAACAAAACACAAATGCATTTGTATATTTTAGGAAAACAAAAACAAACATGGCCTAAACCTTGACTAGCCATTTTAGTAATAAATAAACATGGCATTCAATATGCTCAAGATAATGTATTGTCAATGAATGTGACAAGTCAAAGGAACCAAATTGTGTACATTGAATAGCCTTTTATTTTTCCCATACTTTGAGCTGATCAAAACCAAAAGGGACAATAACTTCAACCCTCAATCAATCCCAACAATATCCTGTCATGTATTTAATAATGCTAAATAAATAAATAAATAAATGCACGGAATATAGATAAGCAAACCATTACACTGATCTACCTCTCCAACAAGAATTTGGCATATATGAACATGCTTTCAATTCATTCTTTCTTCTTCCCCACAAAAATGTGTTAAACTTGTACCATAGTTTTTCAGTATGTGTGGTCTTAAGTGTAAAAAAAAAAAAAAAAAACAAAAAAACAACCCATTAAAAATTACTAACAATTACTTCATTCGTCCTAATTTAAAGTATTTTTTTTTACTATTTTCGTCCGTCCAATTTCAAAGTATCATTTTTCTATATTAAAAAAAATAATCATAGACTAATACCAAAATATTCTTAACTTTTAGTTAAATTACAAACATACCATTACATATACAATTACTTTTACACACTTTTACTAACCAATACAATAATATTATTTATTAATCTACTACAAAACCCCAAAAGACCTCTCGTTGAATTGGTATTGAGGAAGTACTATTCAAGAAAAAAGCTTCTAGAGAATGGAGTAAAAAACTAAAACCTCCCTCCCCCCCTCCCCCCAACCCAACCCAACCCAACCCAACTGCAAATCTCTCACCAATCAACAGCCTGCAAATGGTGCGTCTGTGTATGTGCCTTGTGTATTTATGTATGTATAAGTGTTAAGCCTATATTCATAACACCAACACACACATTTATGGCATGGATCAGTATTGCACAGAGCCAACACACACACCAAGTGGAGAATTCTTACATACATTACATCCATTATTGCCCTTTCTGCACCCCTTAAATTCCAATGTTGCTAAACCCCAGTCTCCCACAAACAAGTACACAAATAATAATCCCATCTTTTCTAACTCATGTCTAAAAGCAACAGCACAGCCATTTCCCACAGGCTTTTCTTAGCCCAAATGAGTTCTCTGAGAGAACTCATGGAGATCTCAATTCTTGCTTTCTTACTCTGTTTGCAAGCTTTGTTTCTCCTGCAACAATGGGATCCCGTCTCCCATTTCTTGGCTGCCTTGTGTTTCCTTGTTTTAGCCATTGCCAGACACTACAGTTCAACCCCTTCACCAGTTTATCTCCTTGACTTCTCCTGCTTAAAGCCCCCAAGCTTCTGCAGGGTACCCATGGCAACCTACCTAGAACATGCCCATATGTTCGATTTCTTGGACAAAGAAAGTGTGGCCTTTGTGGCTAAAATCCTCACACAATCTGGTCAAGGTGAACATACCTATCTCCCACCTTCTTTACACTACATCCCACCAAAATCAACCCAACAAGAAGCCATCAAAGAAGTCCACATGGTCCTTTCCCCTGTCTTAGAAGATCTCCTGTCCAAAACCAAGATGTCCCCAACCGACATAGACATTCTCATAGTCAACTGCAGTGGGTTTTGCCCAGCCCCTTCACTCTCATCCATCATTGTCAACAAGTACTCCATGAGACAAGACATCAAAAGCTTCACCCTCAGTGGGATGGGGTGCAGTGCTAGTGCCGTGGCTATTGACATGGCTTATAACATTCTCAAAACACACAAGAATTCAAATGCCTTGATTCTCAGCACTGAAATCCTCTCCACGGGATGGTACCCTGGGAAAGAACACCCCATGATTGTCCTCAACTGCCTCTTCAGGATGGGGGCTGCTGCAATTCTTGTTTCTAACAGAAAGGAAGCAAAGAACAGTGCCAAATATAAGCTCCTACACACACTTAGGACACAAAGAGCCTTTGATGACAAAGGATACCACTCAGCTTTTAGGGAAGAAGATTCTGTTGGACTCACTGGTGTCACAATCAGGAGAGACTTATTGCAGGTCATATAAAATCACATCCTTACAAGTTATCATCAAAACTAATCTTGTCAATAAACTAGGAATTATCTTATAGAACACTACCAGGCAAGTCAGTAGTCAGATCTATCTTTCCCTGATTTACTGTGGTGAAAATTAGTAGTTGTTCCTTCAGTCGTTAATTTAGTTCTTAGTATCTCTCAATCGTTTTCAATTCAAAATTAGGGTTAGGTCACCAATGGCTAATATACCAAGCAATCAAAACCTTCCTTATCTGCGACAGAAGAACATAAATTGACCCTACCACTAGGCAGATCAGATTTATCTTTCCCTGACTTACTGTGGTGAAAATTAGTAGTTGTTTCAGTCAATAATTTAGTTCTTAGTATCGCTCTCAATTGTTTCAATTCAAAATTAGGGTTAGATCATCAATGGCGAATATACCAAGCAATCAAAACCTTCCTTATCTGGTCAAAAGAACATAAACTGAACAATGGAAAAAAAAAAGGATAATAATACCTCATGGACGCTGAAACGGCGCCGTTTCGTGTGCAGGTGGCCGGAGAAACTCTCCGATCAAACATCACAATCCTCGGACTGAAGATCCTCCCGTACACGGAAATGATGATGTACGCGTTCTCCATCATGAAGAAGAAGTACTGGGAGAAATCAACAGAAATATACACCCCCAATTTCAAGCGAGCGGTGCAGCACTTCTGCCTGCCGGCTTCCGGCAAGCCGGTGATTCGCGAAATCGGAAAAGGACTGAAGCTCGCGGAGAAGGACATGGAGCCGGCGTTGATGACGCTCCACAGATTCGGAAATCAATCGTCGTCCTCCCTCTGGTACGAGCTCGGGTACATCGAAGCCAAGGAGAGAGTGAAGGTCGGTGATCGGGTGTGGCAGCTGGGCATGGGGAGCGGGCCCAAGTGCAGTAGCTTGGTGTGGGAGTGCATTCATGCCACTGTGGGGGAGGCGAGGGCGGGGCCATGGGCGGATTGCATTCAGAAGTACCCTGTGGGGTCTGTTGATTAGAGAGCTCTGTTGTGTTCTTCGATTTGGGGGTTAGGGTTTTTCCCAATTTCTAAATTCTCCATTGCTGAATCTTCTTTCTAATTCTAATGTTCTTCGGCCTGAAAATACTACACGATGTACCCAAGGATTGTTATTGTTATTATTTATGGATAAAATCAATCTGCTATACAAACTTACATTTGTTCTTTCTGCGTAATTGCCTGTAGTTTCGATTTCCGAAGCGGCGGCAACCGCCAAACTCTAGCACCACCACCGTCGTACCCGCCGGTGATGGCGATGGAATGTCGCCGGGGTGGGTTTTTTTTCGTTTTAGCGCTTCGATAATTTCTTTAAGCTTAATTAATTGGGATAATTAATTTTTGTTTAATACTTCCACAATCTATTTTTTAATGTCATATTTTTTTAAACAATCACAATTTTTATTATAAAATAATAAATTTATCTTTAATTTTGTGTAAAAAATAAAAGAATAAATAAAATAAAAATAAAAAAATAAATTATATATATAAAAATAAAAAAAGACAATAACGTTAGTCCGTAGAAGGATATTAAATATATTCTTTTTAATGTAAAACATTTCATAGAATTCTTTATTGAAAAATTGGGCGCGGATGACTCAGAACTTCTTTAAAGCTTTTTAAAAATAATAAAAATATTAAATATTTGATATAATATTTTAAAAAATATATATACTTTCTCCTTCATTATTGTTTATTTTTGTCTATTCTAAAATAATGGTAAAATTTAATTTTGTAATATGTGAGTACATGTTACTCACTCCATTCCAATTCCAAATACTATTTTTAATATTTTTATATGTTCCATTTAAAAAATATCTTTCATGTTTTAGTAAAAATAATTATATACTAATATCAAAATATATATTTTTTCTTAATTTACAAATACAGTATTACACATATAATTATTTTACACATAAAATCAAAGTATAAATGTATCAACCACTAATTAATAAAATATTCTTTCTATTCGCCTCAAATGGTCACATTTATTTTTTTTGTCATTTTATTTAATATTAAAAATATCCTTATATTTGTATAATATTTTTTTACAAATGTCCTTCTATTAGTACTATAGGACACTAATGAAAGTTTTTTTACATTTTTTTTTAATTTATATTACATTTTGATATAATAATTAATATTCAAAGATCAACACGCAAAAAAGATCCTTAGAATTGGACGAAGGTTGTATTACTATTATTTGTTAATCTAATACTACTATAAAAGTTCAAATGATACGATCAAAATGAATGAATAAAGTATTAATTTAACAATTTTAATGTATAATGACAATGTGATAATAGATATTGAGAGAAATTTAACGTTGTTTTAGTTTTTAAAATTACTACTCATTTGGCCCCATAAATAGATATTTATTTGTTTTTTTGCAAATAATTTTAGAAATATTAATATTATATTGGGATTTAGTAGGAATAAAGTAGAAATGACTAAAATAACCTTATTAGTATGGTGTGATATAAAAGTAATGACATTTGTGTAATATATTGCAAATTGTAAGGGTATTCGTAATGTTAGGTAGATAATACAGTTACTAAAAAAAATAAATATTTTGTTATGGAACATATTAAAATGGAAAAATGGATACTTTATTATGGAATGGGGGAGTATTATTTTTTAAAAAATATTAATAATATATCATAATATATATTTATTATAAGTGAAAAGAATCTATCAAATTATTTATTTATTAAAATAGATTCTATAACATATAATTTTTTTTTTATAAATATCAACTAAAATTCAATAAAATTTATAAATTTTTAAAGTCTATAAATAATTGAATACCTGAAAATTAAAAATTTTTAAAACTCTGAATCTAATACTTTCAAATTTTTCGAATTTTAAAAAACTCTTAAAAATTTAAATTGAATACATTCAAATTAAAAAAATTTAATAAAAAATCCTATAGAATCTTAATTGAATATATTCCTTTAAATTCTAAATAATCGGAATTTATTTGATTTTGATTTGAATAAGAGTGTTTTAGTTCTAATTTAAATAATATTTTAATAAAAAAAATTTATTAAAGAAAAAGCAAATTTTAAAGAAGTAGTATAATTAACAGTGCTGAGTGAAAGAAATCAACAACATAATGTATCAATATATTAATTATGCTAATTAATTATAAGCTGTGTTGTATTTAATTTATGACGTCATGTATTAAATAACAACATGCTAGCGGTATGAATACACTACTTCTGCTTAATTAATTATAAATTATGTTGTATTTAATTATAACAACAACAAAAATAAAATAAAATAAAATAAAATAAAATAAATCTTATATACTTTTAAATTTATATCATTCACAATTTTATCTGCTTACAAAAATGGTATAATTATTTCCCCAATTAATTTATTGAAAGAAATTCACTCTGTATTCCCAACACAATTTTTCAATTACGATTTCTTAAAAATAATACTCTTTTTGTCCGTCTGTAAGGTTACAGTTATGTTTGAGTCATTGTATCTAATATTAAAAATATCTCTATTTTATATAATTTTTTTACAAATATATTTTTTAACATTAAACATATTTTTATATTTGTATAATTTTTTTTGTACAAATATTTTTTTATTAGTATTATAAGACACTAATAAAAATATTTTTGCAATTTTTTAATTTGTATTACAATTTAATATAATAATTAATATTAAAAAATTATAAAAAAAAATAAATTAAACTATTAAAACCGAACTGAACTTAGCTGAAGTAGACAATACAATTTTCTTTTACAAAAAGAAAAAAAAAATCAAATATTCATTAAAAAATCAAATATTAACTTTAAAATAAACATATTTTATATTTTTAACATAATTTTTCGTATCAAATCAATTTATCTAAAATAACTGTATGAACAGATTATTTTACTTTTCCTCACGTATATATTTATGATTTCTTGTTTCCTCTATCCTTTACGCGCCACGACTATGGAATGATCTCAGCCGTTGACTGTAGCAATGATCGGCGAACAAGATAAGATCTGGGCGGTCAATTCACGGACGGCTGAAGATGTCGACGCTCATAGCCGTACGAGAGCCTTCGCTCTCTGGAAACGACGGCGACTATTCCCCCGCCAAGGAGAAAGCCTCCACCCGCGCCGCCGTCTACGGCGTCCGATTGCCTCTTCTTCACCGCCGTCTCCGGCTGTTGGTTGGCGGCGCAAAGTACAAACTCCTCCTGCTTCTCTGTTTCCTGACTTCCATCTATGTGCTCAGCTCCAGGACCTCATCGTTTGTGGGATGGAATCCTGATTATCCTTCTTCGGTATCTGCGTCGTCTAGGTTTGGCTTCGTGTGCTCCTTTTAATGGCGTATTGATCGGTTTTTGAGTGGATCTATGATTTGATCTGATTTAGAATTACTTTTTTGAAGCATTAATTGATGGATTGGATTAGGTTATTTAGTAATGGCTGATTGTTTGGGAATTCCAGTTAGTGTGTGATCTAGCTTTGATGGATGTGAAAACCGTTAAAGCAATTAAGGTAATTTTGGATCTCAATTGGCGTAATTGGAATCAAATGCGAACTTCTGAGTTAGTTGACCTAGATCAGGGAAGATCTTCATTGTTATCCCCAGTTTTGGAACTTGAAATTCTGTATTTACTTTCTAAATTTGTGTGTGTTTGTTTCATTTTCTGATAATTGTGCTTATTTTGCATTTTGTATGTAGTGTTCTTAGGATTTATGCCAACATTCAATAATGTTAAAATATATTTTAAATATATATATATGTATATTATATCTATGGTATTTCTTTCTATTAAGAAATTTATAAATTCTTAATTCATAGTTGAAATAAACAATTTCAATTTTATATTTTAATATGTTATGCGATGATCCAGAATACATTGTCACAGCTGGCAAATTCAAGTTGATTCGATCCTACCTTGAATTTGATGAAGAGTGCTAAAATCCTCTCTTCGTAATACATGTTTTTATTTTGGGTTGTCTGGTTACAAAGAAACAATTTATACAGCAAAAAAACAAAGGCAAAATTGTCTTTACACTCCTTCTAACTGTCTGCGACAATTGGAATGTATACTTATTACCGAACCGGAGGGAGTATTATATTTATAGCATTTGATTTATTTAATAGATTTATAGAATTCTTTATTTATTTAGATGATTTGTATACCATTGTACATATGCACTAATTTTTGCTATTGAAATAGATAATTTCAGTTTTATATAAAATCAGATCATTTTTATATGTGATTTAACATATTTACACTTTAGTTTAGTAATTTTTGTTGTTCATCAAATTCTTGTACATCATTCAACAATTTCTATTTACGACTTGAGGTGTTTCGTGCTAAAGACAATGCTTATTTAACCAAACAGAATTGGAATTTTCATTCTCCATGTTCGATGATGTGCAGAGGTGGATACACAGTTCTTATCAACACTTGGAAGAGAAATTCTCTGCTTAAGCAATCTGTGGCTCACTATGCATCCTGCCGAGGGACTGATGCCATACACATTGTTTGGAGTGAAACTAATCCACCTTCCGAAAATCTGAGGGATTATCTGAGGAAGACGGTAATAAAGAAGTCACAATCCGCCCACAAGCCAAACTTTAGGTTTGACATAAACAAGGAAGATAATCTCAACAATAGGTTCAAGCCAATCGAGGACCTCCGTGCAGATGCTATATTCTCAGTGGATGACGATGTGATTGTTCCTTGTGGGACGCTCGATTTTGCATTTTCTGTATGGCAAACTGCTCCACGTGCGATGGTTGGATTTGTTCCTCGTATGCATTGGCTTGCTGAAGAGGTTTGTTGATTTGCATATTTAATTGCGCAGTTGATTTAGCATTAGTTGTTATCTTCTTTTGTTGCTTTGATCCTTCCCTTTGATGAAAGTAGTATTTCGTATTTTCTCGTAGTTAGTTTCATCGGCTAATAGTTTTTAAATTTGGTCACCTGAGTCGATGCTTTTTCTAATCTTTAGATGTTTCATTTTGAATACGGTTGGTTCTTTCGGGTGTGTTTGTTTGTGGTTTTAGTTTTTGAGTTTGGATTTTTGAACAGTAAAAAGTTAAATTTGAATAGTTATTTGATGTGATATAAATAGAGGTTGATGTGATGTTTTGAATGTAAAATAAATTTATAGTATAGTATAATAAAAGAAAAGTAATTGTTTGATGTGATATTTTTGAAGGAAAAAAATAGTCTGAATAGTAAAAAGTTGTGGGAAGACCCACAAAAGAACACAACCTTCATTTTTTTTTAACAAGAAATTGGTTGTGTAGAAAAATGGTGGTGTTCGTTACACGTATGGAGGATGGTGGTCTGTTTGGTGGACGGGAACTTACAGTATGATCCTTTCGAAAGCGGCATTCTTTCATAAAAGATATTTGGAGTTATACACTAACAAGATGCCGGCATCGATTCATGATTATGTTAGGAGAGAAAGGTAATGACATTAGGTTTGATTGAGTACATCCTTTATTTTCCGTAATTGTAATATTTCTCAATTAGTCACAATCCCTATTCTCTTACAGAAACTGTGAAGACATCGCAATGTCTCTCCTCGTTGCAAACGCCACCGGGGCTCCTCCTATATGGATCAAAGGTACTAATTCTATCAGCTAATCCTCATATGAATTGTTTTCTTTAATAGTTTGTGTTCTTCGGGAATTACAAATGATTGAATACTGAAGAAAGAAAATAATTATCAAATGAACAAAGTCGAAATGTTCATCAAACATATGAGATGATGAATTTAGTCGGGAAAACACTATCCACACCTGACTCACTCTGAAGTCTAATAATCCATCTGTCCACTTAATAGATTTACATTTTATTTTTAGGCGAAGATTAAGAAATAGCAATATTTAAATGGATTACTTTTTGTGCCTAAAGACTGTTTTTGCCTTTAAGCTTTAATTTGATAGAATAATATTGATATAAATAAGAAAAGAAAAATACTCCCTCCAACCCTTAAAAAGTATCTAAATACTTTTTGTGGGGAGTTTTATGTATATTAGTATTATATTGGTATGTACTATGATAAATTTTAAAATAACAAAAAATAACCTTATTAATGTTGTATGAAAAATACTCCCTCCGACCCTTAAAAGTATTTAAATGACATTTCTGTAATATATTATAAGTTATATAGGTAATTTTAATGTTAGGTATATAGTACAATTACCAAAATAAAAAAATTGAATAGTTTGTTAAGGGATGGAGGGATTATATACTTTGTATTTGAACGAATGAAAAATGAAAAAATGTATACCTTATGAGTTGACTGATTGAATATATCGATCCATGACCATGACTAGGAAGTTTTAAAGTTTCTTACCTTAAATTTTCAGGACAAATACGTGAGATAGGTTTATCCGGGATAAGCAGTCTGAAGGGACACAACGACAAGAGGAACACATGTCTCAACGATTTCGTTTCTTTGTACGGCGGGACAATGCCGCTAGTATCAACCAACACGAAAGCAGTCGATGCAAAACGTGAATGGTTCTGGTAATTTTCCGGCCGAGGTCATCCGCGACGCGGCGTGCCGGGTACCCTTCTTGGAACTAAACTTTGATGCTTTTAAGTTTGTGCCATTATATGTTACTTGGTTTAGCATTGCATACAAATTCTAACATCCATTGTTGTTTTATTATTTGTTGGATTTAGTTAGAAACTTTCATTAAGCATTTTCAATATGTAGTATATGTATATGTATTTTGTATAGATATACACATACTTTATGTGTAGTTTTGGCCAATCCCATTTAGGGATCTTGAATTTTGCTCGTGTTAACAAGTGTTTGATTTAATGTTTTGAATCGAAAAATATTTTCGAATGTAAAATTAAAGAGTGCAACAAGTATTTAATTTAATAGATTTAAAAAATTAAAAAGATTAGTGATATGAAATTAAAATATGAGCTTATTTGGAAAATGAGTTTTGCATGGGAGGTGAAATCTTGTCTTTTGTTTTATTTCTTCAAAATATAGTGCTTTTGAAATGTATGCTAATTTGAATTTGAAGTATTTTGGGAAATATAAGTGAGTTAATAAAAGGAGAAAAACATATTTTATAAATTGAGTATATAAATAGTTGTGATATTTTTGTAATTTTTTTTTAATAAACAAAAATAAAAATATGCATAGATTTAATGGAAAAAAAAAAAATACTGTATTCCTCAACCCTACAATTGATGAAATATAAATATATGTATCAAATAATTTGAACAAATAAGTAAAAATAACAATGAATATGACTTAAAATTAAGTATTACTATTAAGTTAAAGAGGTAGTTCTATGTATTTCTATTTTATTAGATTATTATTAAATGTAAATAGATAAATATTATTTATTTGTTAGGTTTTAAATTTGATTTTACTATTTCAACTTTTTATATCACATCAAATAACTATTTCTATTCAAAATTTTACTATTCAAAATCAAAATTCAAAACTAAAACCTCGTAAGTAAAGAGAGTTTGTTTCATTTGTTTATATATTTTATATTTTGCTCTATTTTAAGTGAAACAATTATTAAATTTAATATTTTATGTAAAAGTATTTATTAAATATCATTAAAAAATTAAATAATATAAAAAAACCACTTATATAATTATATTTTTAAAATAAAAAAGAAGACCTAGTTGAAAAAAGAGTTTTAAAGGTATAATGGTATCTTATAATTACTTCAATAAATAAATAAATAAATAGATACATAATTAAAACTTTATTCTTTTTGCAATTATTAATCTTTTCTGAAGCTTGTTTGTTAAGGTATGTTCATCACTTTTTTTTTTTTTCCTTTTTATTATTATTATTATTATTATTATTATTATTATTATTATTATTATTTTTACAACACTGGCTTTTATTTTTTACTTTATTTATTCTTCCCTTTTACTTGTTCAAACTTTGAACAATTATAGTTGGAAAGCCATGCAATATTTATGATGTACTATTTTCTACTGTTTGAATTATTTTGGGTGTTTGGATATAATAATAATAATAATAATAATAATAATAGATTAATGTAATAAAACAAATTTATAATAATAAGAATAATAGATTAATGTATTCTTAATAAAAGAAATTTTTGTTTATTTTAGCTTTGTGTTTGAGATTTTAGTTTGATTAGCAGTGTCATGTGTTACTTTGTAAAGAAAAGAAATACTCCATCCGCCCAAAATTTTTTAATTTCTTTGGTAGTAAATTAAAGAAGATACTCATATGTATCCTAAGCAAATATTCATTTGTTTTATACGCGTAATTTTAAAAATATTAATATTATATTAAGATACAGTAGAAATAAAATAAAAATGATTAAAATAATTTATATTAGTATGTATAATATAAAGATGGTGATATTTGTGTAATATATTGTAAGTTGTAAAGGTATTTGTAATGTTAGTAGACAGTAGAGTTACTAAAAAACGGAAATAGATACTTTATTATAAGACAGAATGAAAAAATAGATACTTTATTATAGGACGAATTAAAATAAAAAAATGAATACTTTGTTATGAGACGAAGGGAGTAATATTTTACTAGTTTATGAAAGAGTATAAAATAATTTTTAATTTTTTTGCTCTTGCAAATACAAAAGAAACAAAAGCTTTTATGAAAATTAGAGGTACGTTGATATCTACATATACATTAATTTTATTGTAATAGAAAAATAATATTACTTTCGTCCGACTCTAAGAATCTTATTTACTTTTTGTATGTTAATATTTGAATATTAATTATTATACCAAAATATAGTACAAATTAAGAAAAAATTGAAAAATCCTTCTAATAATATAAGAAATATTATACAAATATAATAATATTTTTACTTATTAACTAAAATATGTAAGAAATTTGATATTTTACTCTTTGACTTTATTTTTAAAATAATTATGTATAATAATATACTTATAATTTAAATTTAAATTAAATATATTTTAATATTAACATATAATTTTTATTTTTTTAAAAAAAATAAAAAATAGATACACGAGAGACAAGTATATATAGATACATATTATATATAATTATACATACAAAAGTTGTCTCTATCACCATCCACTAGTCTCCACCCACCACCGACTCTTCTCATCTGCTCCCCTTCTTCTACTTGTTACTGTTCCCCGTGGTCTCCAAAATTCCCATAATGCCCTCCCGCCGGCTCCTCTCGCCGCCGTCGCCACACCACCACCAAACCAATCGCCTTATTCTGCCTCTCGTCGGAGGACTATCCGCTGCAATTTCATTCATCATCATCATAATCATACTCGCCGTCATTTACCTCCGTCGAAACCGCCGGAAACGGACTGCACCGTCGGCGTCCGACACCGACTCGAGGAAACCTCCGTATCGAGTCTCCTACTCCGTCCTCCGCCGGGCGACCTCGAATTTCTCGCCGTCTCTGCGCCTCGGACAGGGCGGCTTCGGCTGCGTCTACCGCGGCGAGCTGAAATCCGGCAACCGATTTTCCTACCTTCCGATCTTCACCGCCGCGCAGTTCGCCGTCAAGCTTTTGGATTCTGGATCGTTGCAAGGCGAGCGCGAATTCCAGAACGAACTCCTCTTCGCGTCGAAGATTGATTGTAAGTACATTGTTTCCGTGCTAGGGTTTTCAATTTCATCGAACCCTAACAAACGTCGGATGCTTTTAGTTTACGAATTAATGGAAAACGGTAGCTTACAGGATTGCTTGTTCCACGAAAACATTGTAGAATTGAGGAGTTGGAATAAGCGATTTTCGATTGCTCTTAATATCGCCAGAGGATTGGAGTATCTGCATCACTACTGTGATCCTCCGATCATCCATGGCGATATTAAGCCGAGCAACATCTTGTTGGATGGGAACTTCAGTGCTAAACTTGGGGATTTCGGATTGGCTAGGTTTAAAATTGAGGATCTGAAGAAGGAAGGATTAATGGAGGATATTGGATCAGTGATTGAAACAGAGAGTGTGTTAACAACTAGTTGTTTCGATGAAGCTGTCTCTGTTAGTGTTGATGTTGATATTTCCGATTCGCCGGAGACTCGAACTGAGGCTTCGCCATTGTCTCCGGAGACACCATCTCCGGCGGCATTGCCGATTACAGTGGCTGCAATGATTTCAATGCCTTCGCCGCGTGATCGGTTGGATAACGGGAGCGTCTCCGAGGGAAATGCCGATGATTTGTGCGTCGATGGCGGCGGAGAATCAAAGAACAATGGGAAGAAGACGACGAAGAAGAGGAAAGATTACGTGATGGAATGGCTCGGAAACGAGATCAAGAACGAGCGACCGACGATCGGATCATCGTTACAGTCGCAAATAATCTCCGGGAAAGACGAAAAGCGAAGGAAGAAACGACGGCAATCGGATTGGTGGATGTCGATGGACGACGACAATGGCGAGCTTGAACAACGCAAGAAAAAGAAGTCGATGACGAAAAAGAAAACAAAATCGAAAGAAATCCAAGGATCGATAACCGACGACAACGAGAAAACGTGGCGGTCGAGGGACAACGCGTTATTCTCTGACGACGGCGACGGGAAGACAAAACAGTCCCGAAGCCGCGGCAGCATGGAGTGGTGGTTTGACGGGTTTAGCGGCGAGCTGTGGCGGGCGTGGAAGAGCAGCCATGACGGGAACCCGATTTCCGGCGAGATTCCGAGGAGCGGCAGCACGCCGAGCACGAGAGGCACCGTATGCTACATCGCCCCCGAGCACTGCAGCAGCGGCGATGCATCGGAGAAATGCGACGTCTACAGCTTTGGGGTGGTGCTGTTGGTGCTCGTTGCGCGGCGGAGGCCGCTGCAGGTGACGGGTTCTCCGATGGTGGAGTTCCGGCGGGCTAATTTGTTGGCGTGGGCCCGGAATCTTGCCCGGGCCGGGAAGCTCGACGGGCTGATCGATCCGGGGGTCGAGTGTTTGGAGAAGGAGCAAGCCATGGTGTGCATCACCGTGGCATTGCTCTGTTTGCAGAAATCGCCGTCGCGGCGTCCGGCGATGAAGGAGGTCGTCCAGATGCTGACCGGAGACTTGCCGCTGCCGGAGCTCCCGGTGGAGCTGTCGCCGGCGGCGAGGTTTCCGGTTAGGACTCAGAAGAGGGTGAAATGAGTAGCCTTGATTTGGGATGAAAAAATTAAGGTTTGGTGTGGTCATATATTTATGTGTATATGAAATGTTGTTACACTTATATGGTTTATTATGTAGTAGTGTTTTAGATCATGTGAAATTGAAGATGTGACTAATGGGAGGAGGATAATGCAAATTAAATTATTAATTTTTATTGGTTTGGAATATGTAAGAAATCTGTTTTAATTTAATACTGTGAATATAAATATTATAGATGTAAAAATCATTTTTTGTCTAATTCTATATCACAAAAATCAATTTTAGTCCCATTAATTAATTAATTAATATTTATTTTTATTATTATTATTTTTTTATCAATTTTTATTATTATTATTTTTTTATCGGTTCATTCAAACAAAAAATTATCAATTTAAGTTAGTTCCATGGTACCTAACGAGACTAAACACGGCCATATTGGACCATGTTCACGACTTCGTTTTGAATATAATTAAATTCTAAGTTATATTCTGATCATTTTCATTTTTTTAATTCATATTTTTTGATATATAAATTTATATTTTAACAAAAATATTTTTTATAATTATTTAGAAATATAATAAATATTATATTTTAAAACATAATTCCAAAAAAACTATAAAAACAATAAATTAGTATATATATATTTTTGAATAAGTGTATTATCTACAGTAATATATGTGCTGCAGCATGGTGCTGAAATTAGCATCGGAACCACCCCCAATCAACATAATACTATTAAACCTCTCTGCCTATATACTCCTATAGTTCTTACTGCCAAAATTATACCATTTTGTTTGGGTAGAATATTTTAATATAAAAATAAAATAAAGACATTAAAAAATGTTATTTAAAAAGATAATAGTAAAATAAAAATAAATAAAACTGTAAATAAATCACTTTTTCTAATTATAAATGAATTATGCATCAATTTTTTTTAAAAAAAAGAAAAATAAAAAAAGGTAATTCGCCAACGAAGGAAATATATCTATATATATATATATAACATGGAAAATGCATACGAACCGTTGAAATGGCATCAACAGAAGGCGAACCAAGAAGATCAGTTATGTGCTCCAATTGCCTATTGGTATCCTCTACATACTTTCCCATACGAGCATTTCTGCAAAAATTTACAAAAACTGAAAAGTAGATCAGCAAGCTGTGAAGTCTAAATTGTTCAATAAGGGATGATGGCTGGTGATATGGGGTGAACCCATAATCGTGATGTCATAAGTTTAAACTTCCGACGTCTACAGGTCTTGTAAGCCTAGTTTGTACACCCGAAAAGTAATGACCACGGATTCCAAATCATAAAAAAATATATGAAACTTACTTTGGGAAACATAACAGTCTTCAACTTAACTTACAGTCTGCATTTGCAAGGATGTCTCTGGGCTTCGAATCCCTGTGCAATACATTCGCTACAAATAGAAATATCAGGAAAACATTAGCTGACAAAATTAAAAAAAGAAAGACACTATAGGAACTATAAGCTGAAGAACCAACTACCAGAGTGTATGTATTTAATGCCCGGAGCAACTGATACAGAAAAAACTAACGATGTCCACGAGTGAGATTGTCGTTTGCCTCACCATACTCCGTGAAGAAATCCCTGAAAGGCATATAATCCGGCATAACAATATATATATATACATCAGTAATTTCTCTTCAAGCAAAGATGGGGAAGTGTATAAATTTGGGAAAGAACTTAACAAAGATGGGGACTAATGTTAGGACTCGGAAGTTTGGTGGAGGAGAGGTTACTGTTACTAATTAAGTCGAACACGAAAGGCAAACTAGAGAATATAGTATAGAAAGAATCATCATTTTCAATTTCAAGCAAAGCAAAGCCGAAACAAGACATGTAAATCATCATTTTCGCCACCCTTCTTCCTAGCCAAGCTTCAGGCACACCGATTTTTGTGGCCACGCACAGTTGCAAGAGCACAAGAACACAAATCCATCGAGACCATATGCATTTCACACACTTCTCATCCAATGATTTCTCCTCAGGCACACATCTTTCCAGTTTCCCCTCCCCAACAAATTCGATTTCAAAAATTTCATCGTTCACCCGGGAACCCATATATACTGCTTCCAATATTCTTCCAAATCCAATGCTCGCAACTTCCTATTATCAAGCCCGACACATGCATGGTGTCAAGGGGTTTTCCCATATGTCATAGTTTGGGAATGTTTCTTCTGGCAATCCAGTTCGGGTTTGGTGGGTCACAATCACGTCTTCTACAAATGTGGCCCAACCCATGTAGGGATCACCCAAAGACTTCGACATCAGACCCTTGTCTGGCTTTATGGACTTCTGCCGGTGCCCCAAGTAGCGACGATTTCCAATTATCAGCTTTGCAAAGTTCCCCCCGTGTGTCATAACAAAGACATCAGACTTCAAGCAGACCAGGAAGTCGAGAGCTGCTAAGCTTGTCACATGCTTTTTGAATTCATCCAATTCGGACTTAGTGGCTAATTCCTCCTTAGTCACCTGTATAGAAGATTAGAATATCAAACCACCGAACCAAACAGCTTTTGGCACAACTTTATCAAATACTTCCCCCGTCTACCTAACTTATGCAACTATTCATTTTTTGACTGTCAACTAAATTCGTGCATAATTTATATATAATTTATCCACATACAATTTTATTATCCCTACTTCAGCAAATAATAACTAATTTGCCACTTCTTATTCTACTTATCCCATCACATTTGTATCAATCATTTAATAAATTTTTCCTTATACCCCTGCTTCACTTTTTACCTACCCCATTTTTATATTAAAATATAATTATTTCTTAATCTTTGTGTCCAACCAAACAAACATAAATTTTGTGTACTGAGGGAGTATATCATAATAATAGACCTACAAGATTGGGGAACATGTTCCTAAGCGGTGCCATGCGATTCTGTCCGCCATAGACCTGCCCAGAAGCCACATATATCTGTGTTTCTTTGGTATAGCCCATTGCCCGGAGCATGACTGCTACCTCACCAGGCTCGAGCGGGCAGCGTCCTTCCTTCCGCTTCTGAAGAGCAAGGGCCCAAAGATGGGAACCATCCTGAAATAAAGAACCGAAGAAAGAACAGTTGTAGTAGTATTGCACATATCCTCATATTCAGCACAAAGTCTTAACCCAATAAAACAATACCTTGAAACGTCGGGGCCACTCTTTGAGTCTGTACATAGCCATAAGTGCTTTCTCCATCCTAGTTCCAACAAAATCACAGAAAGAAAGTCCCACCATACCTTTCTCAAACCTTAGATGAAGAGCCCTGATATTCGTGCGCACACATACACATATAGGACCAACGACAGTCAGGCAAATTTTTGAATGGTATCAACTTAAGAATGATTTAAGTTCATTAAAATAAACAGATTCATGCCACCTACATGAAAGGATTTGGACTAACAGTTCGGTTTCTCATCCTAGATAAGAGTAAATCTGCCATATTCTCAATTTCAGGAAGAAACTTCAAGGCATGATAGTTCACTCTACACCTTAGCCTGTTGATTTCTGGAGGGACATTATCATACCTAATGAACAAGAAAAATCAAAATAGTTAACCTAAAATATGTGTATTCTTATGTTTATGCTCCTGTCGATCCAAAAGTGAGCAGGGGGAAATGGAAGCAATAACATTGATTAAAACCCATAACTCACCCCAGCCTATCAACAAATGGCTTCAAGGACATTATTTTCTTTTCCTTGATACGAGGCAAAACATTGTCAATGTAGAACTGCGCTGGAGCATACTTTGGAATGTTTTTGACAGTTCGCCTGTGATGGATGATGATACACAATTACAAAGATATAGAAAGCAGATATTTTAAACTTATGACGAACTTTGTTATTAACAAACTGAATTAAAGATTCCCATATCTACTTGAAGTTTAAAAGAAGCGGAAAACTTTTCCAGATGTTTGGTATAACTAATTTTCAGGAATGCCAGCATTAATAGATCATTTTTACAGATTATAGGGATTAAACAAATAGTAAAGTGGAGAAAGGAAACACAGAACCTTATACTAGTGAATAACTCTGTTTTGTCTGTAAACCAATCTGGGATATCTCGCACAATTCGCACATCATATTTCAAGTAGTCGATAAAATGATCGACATCAAATATGTCTTCAAATTTCCTGCAGTCAGAAATTTGCATTACTATTTACCATTACCATAAAAGTCCTAATACTTCATATAACAATGCACATCAAATACATCCTCAAATTTCATGTTGACAGCTTTGCAGATGTCATGCTGTCAACAAATGTTAGGTCCAAATTTCCTGCAGGCAACTTTGCCTTATGGACATATAAGACGATCTCATGTGTTTGTATCTCATTGCTTACCAAAAGATAGTGTAAGTATTAAGTAAGGGAAAAAAAAAAATCTAGTTCTCAAGGATACAATCAAGAAACCAAATAATCACATGGTCAACATAAAAAATAGGGTGATGCAATAGCAAGCAAAAACCATAAAGAAGTTCTAATAAGGAAACTAAGCATAAAGAAGATATGAATGTAAATAAGACATGAAATATAACAGCATTAGTCAAGTTCACCCACGTTTGATCTTTCCATATCTGGTCTTGCTTCAGCACAGGTAAAATAAGAGTAGCATTCATGATCTTTGCCACGGCAACAGCATTGCATATCTGGAGACATAGAGATGTATAGTCTTATTCATGAACAGCTTCCAAAGCTACCACACACACCGCTCTTAAAAGCAAGGAAATTTGTCGGTTGTCCAATCAGAATTTATCACAGAGGAACAAGTTTGTAATAGCAAACCAAATCGTTACTGATATTAATTGTAACTAAGTAATCAGTAGCCAAAGTAATATCTTCCCTTGAGAAACAAAATAATTTATAAGCAGTAGCACAAATTTTCGACACACTAGGCAGTATGTCATTCCTAGTGCATGATGAAAAATGAGAATACCCAAAATGATCACATACAGCAATTCTTTGCTGGTTAAGACCCCCCTCAGCATGTATGAATACATAGCCATTTGTTTCATTTTCAGCAGGAAGATCTGCAAGGTAGCAGAAAAATTCACATATATATAATTACATATACATACATACAAAGATAAACCAAATATAGGCACATTCATACATCTTAGATTCACTAGCATATTTGCTGCTATGTCGAAATATTTATTAACCGGAGAACTGAGTATATACTAAACTACTGTGTTGTGGTTATCTAGCTTACTCTTCTTACAACCATAATAGTTACTTGACTGCACTGCATTCACCTGAAAACTAAAGGAAACGATATAACTTCTGGTCTTGACGTGCAGAAGGGAGTACATAATATGGTTTCTTAAATACACAAAAGTTATATAGATTTCCCTCCCTATCCCTTTAGCTAATGTTGGAATAGTTTTGCAAATTTCACTGTCTGCTCTGGGTTAAAAAGACAAGAAAGTGAAAGAAACAACGTTCCACACATAATCCTTCTAATTCTTTCCAAATCCTTCATTTCTTTGTTGCTTCAGGTTCTATTCGCTCTGAGATTTTGTTTTTTTTTTCAATTTCCTTACTACGCAATCCCCATATAAAGATCACATTCAATTACTATTTAAACACAAAACATAAACCAAACGCACCTAAGCTTCCAAGCAAATGAAAATTAATGTAAACCCTTTTTCCTTTTATCTATTATCTCTAAATAATTCATTCAAAAGTAGCTACAGAAGGATCAGATAAACAGCCACTAGTGGAAATTTAAATTTCATAATGTCTGCATGAGATGTTAGACCTTGGGATGTTATTTCATTAACCAACTCAGAAGTTATCATCAATTCATCATATATTCCAAGTACCTGATGATATGCCTTCAGGCCGCTCGGCACAAGGTTTCCAAGATGTAGTAGCTGAATAAGGATTTTCCCATAGCGATGGAGGCTCTTTTACCTACTTGGCAGGAAACCAATGCTATTAAATATACAATCAACCTGGAAATATGGTTAAACAAAATGTAGATAATTGTTGAGCTCACATAGGGACAATGAAGTGTTATGCCTTCTTTTCTGCACAAGTATGGAGAATTCTGCAACCACATCCAAGAACAGCCAAAACAAAAATTATTAGAACTTGAAGGATAAAACATGGCGTCTGAATGCATTGCAATGAATTTTTAATTCCAGATAATCGAAATAATTCCAAATTAGATGAAATTTCATACTAAAAAATCTCGAAAACACTTGTTATAAATGAGATCGATTCAGCTTATACCTATCTATCTATCTATCTACATATATAGAGATTTATGCAAGAAACTTCAGACACATTCAAATCAACGGAAAAATGAAATCAAATAATCGCGCAATAAAGACAGCAAGGGGAATTACCAATTGGCTGACCAAAGAAGTAACGGAAATGACGACAGCAATGGCTACGGCAACGAGTATGAGAATTGAGATCTTAGATCTATGAGTGTGTGTCCTGTTTAGATCGTCGCTGGGGAAAATAGAATGTGGGAGAAAAGGCTGGAAATAAGAGCGGAAGGAGCGATCCCGAGAATAGCGATCGCGGCCATTGTCATAGGTGTCGTCGTCGTCGGTGGAAGCGTGGTAGTCGGAGGATGACAATGGAGAAGGGGCGACGGCGGAGGCAGCGGGGGAGGAAACAGAGCGGCTGCCTGTAGAGCTTGAGTGGCGGAGCTCCGCCGTGGCTCGCTTGGGGCTGTACGCCGCCAGATTGAAATTGGAGCACGATCGGGAAGGGGGCTCACAAGGAATGAAATTCCAGATACAAAATGGTCGAATACAATACAGTACAATACAATACAAGGGATAGTATTATCTTTCAGGAATTATTCCGAGGTAATAACACCACCAACAGGCTACCAGCAGAGCAGCGATTTTGGGGAAGAAGAAGAAGACAGACGAAAAGGGAGGTGAACTGTGGTAGTAATTGTGGTAAAATTGGGTTTATTCAATTTCTCTCCCGGCTATTGTCACCTTATTTATTTATTTATTTATTTTTTATTATTATTATTATTATTATTATTATTTTTGTCATTTAAGAGGAGTATAATTATTAAATTATTAATAATATATTATTAAAAATAATTTTTATTAAAATTAGATAATTAATTTATTTAATTAAAAAAAATATTTCCTCCATCCTAGAAATAAAATATTCATTTGTTTTTTATCAGTAGTTTTAGAAATATTAATATTATAGTAGGAATAAAGTATAAATAACTAAATAATTTTATTATTATTAGTACGTGTGATATAAAAAAAAATGACATTTGTGTATTTGTAATGTTAGCTAATTACTGAAAAAAGAAAATAAATACTTTGTTATGGACGGATTCAAATAGAAAAATTGATACTTTATTATGCTACAAAATGAAGTATATAAAAATTAAAAAATCTAATATAAAATTAAAATTTTATAATTCCTTTTCAAAAAATAAAGTGATATAATAAGTGATACATACGAAAATGAAAAAATAACACAGGGAGTGAAACGAAGGAAATATTATTTTTTTTTTGCACAAATCAAAGAAGATTTTTTTTGGAATTTTACTGTAGATTAAAAAATAATATTTGTTTTTGCCAATAAATATCTATTTGTTTTTTTACTAGAAATAAAGTATATATGACTAAAATAATATTATTACTATTATATGACTATAGGTGATGACATTTTTATAATATATTTTAATTTGTAATGTTAGATACACAATGATTATTAAAAAAAAATAAAATGAATACTTTGTTAAGGGACGAATGGAGTATTTCAATTTCTATTGTTCTAAAATTTCTATTTAGGAAACAAAATAGGATAATAGTTGTTCAACGTCCCAAATAATAATAATAAAAAAGATATTAGTTTGTGGATGGAGGAATGTATTTTATTAATAAGTGAAAGTATATAGAGTTTTTGATATTTTTGCATTTGAATTTATGTATAAAGTATTTGCATGTGTAATGATTTGTTTATAATTCAAATAAAAATAAAAAAAATATTTTGATATTAGTGTATGATTATTTTTTTTAAAAATAAAAAAATAAAATTTTTTAAAGAACTTACAAAACTAGTAAAAAAATACTTTAAATTGAAAAGAAAGATTTTTTTTTCTTTTAAATATAAGATAACATATTAAGATAATATATTTGATCCAATTAACAATTAAATATAAAATATTATTTTTTATATTACCAATATAGTTTTTATATTTAATATAAAAAACATTTATATATTAACACACAGAGTGAACAAACTCATAAGGGTAAATGAAGTTGTTTCAGTAAAAATTGTACAAAATACATACTATTTTCGTCCGGCTCTAAGTTGTCACATTTACTTTTTATATGTTGATATTTGAATATTAATTATTATATCAAAACATAGAACAAATCATTAGAAAATGACAAAAATACTTCTATTACTATTTTATAATATTAATAGAATGATATTTGTAAAAAAATTATACAAATATAAAAATATTTTTAATGTTAACTATAATGATGCAAAATGTAAATATAACTCTTACAAGCAGACGGAGATAGTATTTTTTAGGCAAACTCTTGTTCTATAACTTTTTAAATATTTATTGAGGCTTAATATGAGATAAATGAATAAATTTGTAATTTTAGGGATTTTATAATAAAGATTTTGAAACTCAGAATTCGGGCGTATGCATATATAAAATCGTTAAAAAAAGACATCCCATGGAATTAGAAGCGGAATTTATGGAATACCACGAGAGAATTTGACGCATTTTGAAAGTATAAGTGATTTAGTGTAATTATGTGAAATCACATGTGAGTTTCGTACAATTTTATTTATTTTTTTATTTATTGTGTAAAATTTACTTAAGAAATATCTTAAATATTTTTATTGAATAATTAACTAGTAATTCATTTTTATAATTTCTCTAAGAATTAAATGGCATTTCAATATTAACATGTGATTACTTTTATTATATTAATATAAAATAAATACTTTTAAATGAGATAGATAAATATGGTAAAAAATAAATAGTTGCTTTCTCTGTTTATTCTTTCTAAATATAGAAAGAATGAATATATCTGTATAATTTTAGAGGTTTAGAAATGAAGATTTTAAAACTTATTAACAATTTGGATGTGTTGTTCAAACACAGTTAAATAAAAACGACCAAGAGGTTAAACGCAGAGTTTACGAAATTATAAGAAAATTTAACACAATCTTGAAAATATAACAAATTTAATGCAATTTTATAAAATTACATGTAAATTTGTTAATTTTCCAAATTACTTTAGATAACTATATAGTAAAAATATGAAAAAGAAAAGCAAACAAACAAGCCCATAATAAATTTAAAAAAAAATAAAAATTTAATTTTATAACAATGAATGGTTTGTACACTATTAAAAAATGTTACTAATAAATATTTTTAACCGGAACCATTTCTAATAAATATTGTACTAATAAAAATTCCTGGAACCATTTCTAATAAATATTACTATTAAAAATATAATATATATATATATATTACCTACTCTAAAAAAATCAATAATTCAATGCAAAATATTACTCATTCCGTTCCATAGATATAGTTTTAATTGGGTTGGAAACGAAATTTAAAGAATATTGATATTATATTGGTAGTGAGTAAAAAGTATGGATAAAAGTTTTTTTTGCTTAGTGTATTAATGTAAAAAATAATGACAATTGTGTAATAAAATGAAAAAATATGGGTAATTTTACGATGATATAGTTATTTATGAAAATAAGACTATTGTTTTGTAACGGACAAAAATGATAAACAAAACTATTGTATTGAGACGGAGTGATCATTTTTTATATTACAAACTGTTGAGCACAAAAAAAAAAAAATGATGTGTAGTGTTTTCGAGAATGGGCCTATTAAATTAGGTTAAGGATTGATGTAGAGTTTAATGGGTTGTTAATGGTAGTAGGACCTTAAAAAGGGAGTCCGAATATAAGACTGATTGCCGTTAAGAAAAAGGTTTCCTCTGGAGAAAACGGAGATCGGACAAGATAAGGTTGAGTACGGAGATAGGACGTGATAAGGTCGGGCACTGAGGTCGGACGTGATCAAGTCGGGCTCGGAGGTCGGACAAGATAAGGTCGGGCACGAAGATCGGACGTGATAAGGTCGAGCATGGAGATCAGACGTGATAAGGTCGGGGGGCACTGAGGTCGGAACGTGATTAAGTCGGGCTCGGAGGTCGGACATGATAAGGTCGGGTGCACAGATCGGGCGTGATAAGGTCGGGTACGGAGGTTGGACATGATAAGGTCGGGTACAGAGATCGGATGTGATAAGGTCGGGCACGGAGATCGGATGTGATAAGGTCGGGTACGGAGATTGGACGTGATCAGGTCGGGCTCAGAGGTCGGACCTGATAAGGTCGGGCGTTAAGATCGGATGTGGTAAGGTCGGGCACGAAGATCGGACGTGATAAGGTCAGACACTAAGGTCGGACGTGATCAGGTCGGGCTCGGAGGTTGGGTGTGATAAGGTCGGGCATTGAGGTCGGATGCGATTAGGTCGGGTACGGAGATCGGACGTGATAAGGTCGGACACGGAGGGCGGACCTGAAGGTCGGGCGTTATATAGGTCGGGCAAAATGAAGTCAGGCAAGGAGAGGGTAGATGAAGAAAATAATATGCATTCAGGTCGGACGGCATATAGATCGGGCAAGATGGAGTCGGGCGAAGAGATAATTAATGCGGAGGTCAAACAAGTGGAAGACGGACAAGAAGAGAAGGAGCAGCATGTGTGTAGGTCGGGCGAAAAAGCAGTTTTTGGATGGTTGAAGGAAGTTTCAACCGATAAGCGGGTGTGAAGCCACGACTTGGTAGTAGCGGTTGACATGGGTTTTAAATAAGTCTGTTCGTGACCTAATAAACCATCTTCAATTGACATCAAATTCAAGAGAATTGTTTTTGGGGATCACCACTTTACTTTTCAGTCTTTAGTTTTTATTTCCCTAATTTATCTATGTATACTGCAGTGGTTAGGGATTCTTAATCTCAGACATTTAATTTATCAAATTCGAAGATAATTTCTATTTTCGGATTTTACTTTATATTGTTGAAAAATTGCATCAACACAAACATAATTTTTCATATTTAACGTTAAAAAATTACATTTCTAAATAAAATAAAAATGAACAAACCTGAAATAGTTAAGTTATGTTTGCATATATTTTCAAATCACTTCTAAAATTATTAACTAAGATTTATTTTCTAGAAGAAATTAACATTAAATACATATATTTATCATTAGAAATATTTGATTTACATATATATATATATATATATAGATATTTTCTTTCTTTATATGAGGTATAAAATCGATAATATAAAAATTAATATATTGAATATTGACTTTATGATAAGATAATATATATATATATTACAAATAGTATCCCAAAAAAAAATAAAATTCTTGGACAAAACAAATCAAAACTTTTACATTAAATATATATTCTGTTCATATTTTACCATTCACTCTGTGTTTTTTTATAAGTTTTATCTTATATTTTTACTATTCAATTTATTTTTTATTTTTATAAAAATATCAAATAAAATAATTATTTTTTAATATTATATTAAAAATTTATTTTATATTCAAACGTCACATTAATATATATATTTATATCATCTCAAACAACTATTCAAATTCAACTTTTTATTGTTAAAAAATTCAAATCCAAAAATCAACTATATTTGATTTATCTTCTATTATTCCCAAATTTTTTCTTAAAAAAATTAAATTAAATACCTATTTTTATTATTACATTAAAAATTAATTTATATTAAAAAAATTATATCAACTATTATTTATATAGCATTAAACAACGCTTTAAATTTAAATTTTTACTATTTAAACAAAAATTCAAAATTATAAAAACCCCAAACAAACACAAAAAAAAAAAAAAAAAAAAAAACCTAAACAAAATTATTACTCGCATAAAGACATATGCATATATAATTAGATAAATCTCAATTATGTAATCTCCACAAAATCTAGTACTACATTCGTAAATAAATAAATAAAATATTGAAAATATTTGTCACTAAGATTAATTTAATTTACCATGAATAGTTTGCTTGAAAATCACGTGCGCCTTAGTATTTAAAGATTGTTGTCAATTTATTTGTACAATTTTGGGGTAAAAAAATGGCATTTGGTAATAATTGTACTTTTAAATTAATACTTATGTCTTAATCACATTTTTTTTAAGTGATTTGATGTAATTGTGTGTGCTTTATAAAAAATAAAAATTTCCACTAGCAAATTAAAATAAAGTTAAAAATCAATTATTGAGGATTTGAGATTTTTTAGGTTGTGTTTTGAGGTTTTGCGATTATTCGGCTGTTTTGTTGTCATTTTGCCGAGTCGTACGAGAGTTATTATAAATATTTATTATGATGTAATTTTGATCGTGTATGTATTTTGAAATCTTAATATGATTATTATTTTTCTATCGAGGATATATGTAGCCAACACTTCTGTTGGTAAATCACATAATTTTGCTTGTCGATTTATTATTATTTTTATTATTGAATTCGTCACAATAGTATTTTTATGTGTTGTGATGATTGTTAGTAGGTGTTGTCTGTTTTATTTTATATAAACACTTCTTGTTAAAATATTTTGCGAAAATTCTAAAGCTTGCATTATTGATAATTAAAACAAGAGACCTATATATAGGCAATCTAAAACAGACTCGATAGACTTAAATCTAAATAACGTAATTTAATGAATATGATCAAATCTAAATCTAAATCTAACAAATCTAAAACTAAATATCGAAAATCTCTCGACACTTCCTATGTGCAAGGGCGGAACCATAGTTTAATGGAAGGGGAGCTCATTTTCTAATTTTTCTTTTGAATAAAACGGCTTATTTATTTTATACATATAAAATTATAAATACCTATTTATTATCGGATAATTATATTTTTGACTTGTTATATTTTAAAAATTATACCATGTTGGTTGAAGCTAATTCTCAGTCAGCAACATTTTTTCTTTTGATTTGTTCTAAATATTATGTAATATTTATAAAATAAAAAATAATTAAATATACATAGGGTTTGTTTGTCTAGTGTTTTAATTTGAAGAAATTTTTTAAAATGAAGTATATAAAATCCTATTGATAATATATAAAAAAATTATTTATTGTATGATGTAGTTTATATATTGTACTGTATTATATATATAGATATATATATTTATTGTGTTAAAATTAATAATATAATATATTACGTTGAATTATATGATATATTGTTAGAACATGGGCTATACAGCACTCCCTCCGTCAGTCTCTAATGGTCATATTTACATTTTGTGTCATTGTATTTAATATTAAAAATATTCTTATATTTTTATAATTTTTGTCAAAATGTCATTCTATTAGTATTATAAGACATTAATGAAAATACTTTTGCATTATTTTTTTAATTTGTACTATATTTTGATATAATAATTAATATACAAAAAATAAATAAAACCCTTATAGCCGAACAAAAATAGGATAATACATGCATGCCATCAAATATGGGCTATTTATTTATTTATTATATATGTGTATATAATAAAGTTGTTTATATAAATTATCGTTTGAGCATTATACTTCAATTAATATTGGAAAATTTATGGCTTGAGAGCCTTGTCTATAGAATTAGTTTTTTAATCATATATATAATTATAATATTAGTATATTTATAATACATTATGTATTATATTATAACTTATCATATGTTATTTTACAGTACAATATATGCTAATTGGCCCTTATAACTTATGTTAATTCGATCAAATTAGTATTTTATTGACTTAGCCTGATAAGCACATGATCTGGCCCTCTCTTTCTATATACCTCTTTCGTCTTTTAACAATCTATCTATTTTTTCATATAGATCAGTGCCATAACAAAATATTTATTTATTTATTTTTAATAATTTTAATGTATACTTAATATTACAAATATCTTTTCAATTTACAGTATATTATAGAAATATCATTACTTGATATCATATCATACTGATAAAGTTAATTTAATTTTTTTTTATTTTTATTAAATATTAATATAATACTAATATTTTTAAAATTACGTAAACAAATATACGGACAGATACGATACAGTAGAATATAATATTCCAAAACTCTCTAAACAGATGGACGGTGGGGATGCTCCTTAATTAAAACAAAAAACCTAAGATATATCTTAATAATTAAGAAGCAAATGGTGACAGTTGACGCACATTAATAATTCCAAGTTATTTTAATCTCACAAGGGCTCCATTATTTCCTTCTTCCCCAATTTAATTTATTATCAATTTCCAAATTACAGATCCATGGAAGAATCAATCCTACCTCCACAAAGCCTACCAGTTATATATCTATGCACATATATACATATATATGCAGAAAGATCTCACAGCACAGCAGAGCACCAAAACGACCAACCAAATCCCATTATATATCACAAAAACCCTCTCCCAAATCCATTTGAAAAATTAGGGATTCCGATCTCAAGATCTTCCTTTAGATTTATTTATTGAAGATAATGTTCTCTTTACAGGCCAGAGATGAGCTGGTTTTTGGAAACCCTAATTATATTAACAATAATAATAATAATAATTATAATTATAATATTTCTCCTCATCCTCATCCTCAGCCAGCTGCAGACAAGATCCTTCTTCTTCCCGATCCAGCTATCCAAATTGCTCATGGCGGTGGCGGCGGCGGCGGTGGCGCCGGTGGTGGTGCTCCAGCGAGGAAGAAAGATGTCCTGTCAGGACAAAGTAGGGTTTTGCATCGGGAAATCGAGAGGAGGAGAAGACAAGATATGTCTAATCTTCATGCCAAGCTAAGGGGACTTCTTCCCATCGAGTTCATCAAGGTCACTTTTTTTTTTTTTAGTTTTTATTATATATGCATATTAGCTGAATTACACAAAATTTACAGTGTTTCATGAAATTGAGCAAAATCCCTCATACTTTCAAAATTGCATCAAAGTTCATCGTGGTTTCATTAATTCTGTGTCTAACCCTTCGACCTTTCTTATTTAACGGTGTTTGATCTGCACGCTCTAAAATGCAAATAAGTTTCAGAATCTTCATTTTCTAAACTCTTGAAATTACAAACATATTCAATATTTTTATTATTTAACTTCAAAAAATAGTAAATATACTTGAAAATAGTTGTTTTTCTTTGGTTTTTTTTTTATGTTCTTTAAAGCTAAATATAAGAAAATGAATATATTTATAGTTTTAGTAATTTAGAAATTAGTATTATGAAATTCATTCGCAGTTTGAGAACACCCTTAAATAAAGATGGCCAAAGGGTTAGACCCAAAATTTATGAAATTACGAGAGAATTTCGCATAATTTTGTAAAACTACAAGTGAATTTTGTGTAATTTAGCCTATATATTTCACTATTCAATACTTATGATTTTCTTATATTCAAATTACCATTTAAACTAAAAATCAAAATCAAAATCACCAAAAAAAAAAAAAAAAAACCCCACGGATTTACGGGTGTTTTTAGTTGGCAATATATATTTTTTATTTTGATTTTATATTTTTTGTTCGTATAATTATTGTTTGAATATTATATTTTGGGAAGAAAAATATTATAATTGTGAGAGTCTAAAAATGGAAAAAAGACAAAAATAGTTAAGTGATCTCCCTTTTCTTTTCAAAATTTGTTGATATTACTATTTTTATTTTTATTTTGGTATTATTTAACCTAGAGGGGACATTTCCTACAGTTCCTCTAAGAAAAAAAAAAACATAGCATTTACTAATTATTTTTATTCAAAACAATATTCCAAATATCTATTTTGATTTTTTTTATTTTTAAAAGCAAATTTATTTTAGTAAATCAGCATAATTTAATTTTTTTTTTCCTTCTCAAAATTCAAAAATATGTGATTACTTATGATTTCAATATCTCTATTCTTGCCCTATTAAATTTATAGAATTTGTTTCTAGTTTCTTTAGAAAAGAAAAGAAATACCCCCTCCGTCCCAAACATCCTGACGATATTTTTTTTTGTTTGTCCCAAACTCACTGCAATATTTCCAAATTTAGAAATAATTAATACTTCCTCCATCTCAAACACCATGCAATATTTCCTTTTTGGTATATCTTAAATATCTACAACATTTCCAAAATAAGAAATAATTAATTATACTTAATCTCTACCCTACATTTTATCCCCTTACATCATTCAAATAAAAAATAAAATATATATTTCTCTCTCCATCGCATCACCTAATTTCTAAATTATCCTACTTAATGTTACCCACCTAAAAACCATTGGCAAAAACAAATGTTGCACTTTGTTTGGGACGGAGGGAGTAATATTTATATACATATATTAATATACATTGCACTTTATCTCATCACATCACTCAAATAAAATAAATAAATAATCATTTATCTCTCCAATCACATCCTTTAATATCCAAATTATCTTAAATTACCATATTTAATACTCCTCATCTAAATTCCCGTGCCAAACACAGATGTTACACGGTGTTTGTGACGGAGGGATTACATCTTTTTTTATTTTCTTCAAAAACATATCATATCTACTGCCTATTATTTTCATTTCAAAATATATATAAATATATATAGTTTTAATATATTGATTTAATATACTAATTTAGCTATATATATATATATTTATATGTATAGAATAACAGACTATGAAAATTTCAAGAATGTAATAAAGCAGATTCAATAATTAAATATTACCCTGTACGAGAAGATAATGTTCAGAGCAATAAATTTCAATATGTATTATTGTCCAGTTATCTTCATTTCTCTATCCATGGTGGAATTTCTTTTTTTGCCCATATTTATTTATTTATTCTTTTTCTCCTACGTAAAAAATAAATCTACTGTCCATTATTTATTTACTCATATCAAAATACACACTTTTCATCATCTACCATTATTTGTGCATTTAGTTGGTGATTTTTATTTTCTTTGTTTCAATATGATGTTTGTGTGTGAGAAAATATTATTTATTCGTTACCCAAATTTATTTTTACTTTCTTTCTTCCCCTGTCTAGTAAATTTATTTTGGCAAAGTGAAAAAATTTAACATTTATCATTCAATACTTTTTTTTTTACTATAATTGTCGCTATGGTTGTTACATCTAAAGTTAAAAAAAAAATAAAAATAGAAGGAGTATATTTTTATAAAAAAATTATGAAAATTGAACATAAAAAAAAAAAAAAAAAATTCGTCAAGTGAACATATAATTGCATGTCGCAACACATTTTACGGTTTCGAAGATAAAATAATTATGATTAACACTTGTTAATTTGAACATTCCATCAAATGAATACTTAAACATAATGCAAAACTTCGATATTTTAACACTTAGGGTTTTGAATCCGTATATATATATATATATTTTCAGGGCAAACGATCGATTTGTGATCACATGCAAGAAGCCGTGAATTACATCAAAAACATCAAGAGCAACATCGATGAACTGCGAATTCGCCGAGATAAGTTGAGAAAATCTTGTGATCATTTATCAAGGAAAGAAATATTAATTGGCGAAACCTCCTCAAATAATATTGGGAATAATATAATTTCACCTAATTTTGTGATGGTGAGCCTCGCCGGAGAAGGTTTGGAAATTCTGATCAGCTGCCGCTATATAAACACCGATTTCCGGCTATCGAAGATGCTCGCCCAGCTGCTCGAAAAAAATATCAGTGTGGTTAGCTGTGTCTCTACCAACACAAAGGGGAGGTTTCTCCATAAAATCCATGCTGAGGTTAACTCTAATTATTTAATAATTAGTTAAGAAAATTTACAAAAATTTTGGTAAAAAAATTTAAGAAACCAAGGGTTTCAAGAATAAGTACTTTAAATTGGTGTTAAATATCAATAAATTATTATATATGGAAAATAATATCATTTTTGTCGTGATCACATGTTCAATGTCGTCTAAATTTATGTTCATTTTTTTTTTGCATAAAATATTATTTTTTAATTCACTTTTATTAAAACACGGTGTCTACCTAAATAAACATAATTTTTTTATGATAGGAAGTTATCATTTATTTTTTTTTCTTCCTCTTTTAAGTGAATATTATTTGAAAATGATCATATATTTTATCTTTTCGATGATTTAATAGTTATAATTCTGCATACGACATACAATTTATCCGCCAGTGTTATGTGACTAAAATATATTTTTTTTGTCATTCAATTTTATTTTTGTTGCTCTTTTTGAATTGTAATATAAAATTATTCCCTTTTTTTTTTCAATGTAAAATGCAAAAAATAAGAAAAATGTATACAATCAACTAGAGCTGTTAACGATCCAAGTCGAGCCGAGTCAAATTTTAAGTGTTTGTTAATATTCGCAAACAAGGCTCGTGTTCATTCGCTAAGTTTTCGAGCTCGGCTCGTAAGGAATTTTTGTTGTTTGAGCTCGTGTTTGTGTTCGTATTCGGCTCGTTTAGGTTCAATTAAGCTCGTTCGAGCTCGTTTGTCTTATTTTTTAAATTTATATATAAATTATAAATAAATAAAAATTAAAATTATTTTATTTATATATTTCAAATTAACATTTTAATTATTTATAAATTATAATTTTATATGTGTATATAATATTTATAATAAATATAGTATTTAAACAAACGTTTGCGAACAAAGTTCGGGCTCGTTCGTTAACCAAATGAGACTGTTTATGTTGTTCGGCTCGGCTCGTTAACGTTCGCGAACGAGCTTTAATCGAGCTGAGTTCACGAACGACTCGGTTCGTTTAACAGCTATACAATCAACTTAAAATATGTGCCTAAGTATGAGCACACAATTGAATGATATATATATATATATATATATCAATTGTTTCGATGAACTCTATATATGAATGGATATTTCAATTTTGCAGGTGAGTGATGTGTCAAGGATTGATCTATTGGTCCTGCAAGAAAGACTGCAAGAATCCATCGATCTTAATTAACAGGCGATGAGCTAGAGAGAGATAGGGGAGAGAGAGAGAGAGAGAGAGAGAGTAATTTGGCTGTTGGGGAATTGAATCTCAAATTATTTCTGGTTTAGGTCATTATATTCATTTTCATAATTGATGCTTAATTATGTTATTGCACTGGATCTGGTGGATCGTCTTCATGCTTTCACTTCCTGTATATATAAAAATAAATAAAATTAATAATGTGCATATGTATAAATATAAATATAAATATAAATATAAATATATAATTATAATTTGGAGTGAAGTCTTGCAGAATAATTAATGATGATGAAGCCAAGGCTGGGTGGTGCAGAAGTAATCTTCTTCTTCTTCTTCTTCATCAGGTACGTCTGCACTCTGCACTTCATATGAGGTCCATGCATGCATGCATGCTTAATAATATATATATATAGAGAGAGAGAGAGAGAGAGTAAGTACTACTTGACATGTTCTCTAATTATAATAACTATCATGCAGCCTAACAACCATGCATGTAGCAGTTTAAGAGAGAGAGAGAGAGAGAGAGAGAGAGAGAGAGAGAGAGAGATGGTTTCATAGATTTGTCAATTTATTAGTTTTTGTTTGGCTGTGGTTTTAAATTATGTAGAAATGACTTGTTATTTGATAACTTGTTTTGTGAGAAAAAATAGTATGTTTTTATTGAAAACTGTTCGGAGTGAATAATGTTGATATTAATTTAAAATATTAAAAGAACAAATCCGATCCATTGTGTTATTTGGGAATTTGAATTTTTTTCCTTTTTTAATTTTGATTTTTGGTTCGAACAGTGATATAATTCGTTATGTGAGAAAAAAAATAATGTATATATATATTTTTTTATATGAAATTGCAATACTTGTATAGTTAAAAAAATTGAAATGGATTAAACTCCAAAAGAATAAAAACTATGTTGTGTTTAGATATGTTTTTAGAATTGTTCTGAAGTGTTAAAAGAGTATTGAGAACATAAAAGAGTTGAATAATATATATATTTGATATGATGTAAATAATTATATGATATTTATGTAGAAAATAAGTTTTGATGTAATAATATTTCAAATGCTAAAAGTGCTTTAAAACCATATGTAAATAGAGTTATTATAATGCATATATCGACCTGTCTGATTATATTATGTCAGGTAATTACGTAGACAGTTGTATTTAGTCTTGTATAAAAATAGTAAAAATAATACTTTGAGCAAGTGTAAAAAACTAAAAAGTTCAAATTAACTCTATATTATAGGGATTTTGTTTCTAAATTAAAATGGAGAAAATTTCATGTAAAAAAAATAAATAAATTTAGAAGCCATTTATTTACAAATAAGGGAGTAATAGTCTATGTTCGTCGATGTATATTTTTGTAGAATATAAGCCATGAATTGTACGAAGCTATTTTATTGTTCGAGTCATGTAAAGTTCTGTTTTTGGATGTAGAATTACTTATATGTATACACCTACCTACACAAAAAAATAAAAAAAAGTTACTTGAATAAATTTGTAATAATGGTTTGAGAAGTTCATCGAATCGTAATATGCCCCTTTATACATACACAAATATGTATGTATATATTGACATACAATAGAGATCTTTTGAATAGTCACTACAAAAAAATAGTATATTTGTAACGAAATTCAGTTTTTAAAGTTCACGTAGCTAACGTAATTTTATCACTGATTCTGTTTCTAATGTCATTAGTAACGGAAATAGTAGATTTTGGAACGAAAAAATCTTATTACACAAATAATATTTTCTTGCAGTGGGTGTTATTGCAATACACACAAATTTGTGCATTTTTGCTGTACATATGCATTAGGGTGAAGATTGTTTGGGTTACATTTAACGAAATCTAGAATTTTACATTATAGTACGACATGTAGTTAGTGTATTTGCCGTCTTGATCAATGCATCCGCGAAAGGGTAGATATTGTTATGACATGTTTTGCTCTGGTCAAATTTGTTGATCGAAACATATGGTTGTCTTCTTTTAATATTCTAAAATTTGTGGAAATTTTGTTGTTAGTTATAGGAAATTGTAGAAGTGTTACGGAAAATTATTATGTGTTTTTAGTTAAATAATTTTTTTTATTATGTATTCAATATTTTGTAAAAGTAAATAATATAATTATTTTTTAAAAATCTCTCTCTATATATATATTGAGAATGATGTGATATATATATATAAAAAAAAAAAAACTTTATATTGATGAATGATCAATTCATATAATGCTCATCTTATTCAACTTCTGTATTTTAGGATTTGTATATAATTACAAGATCATACGACTAGATCGATAACTAAATATATATATATATATACACATATGTAATATGTATATATATATACAAGATCATATAATGCTCATCTTATTCGACGTCTGTATTTTAGGATTTATTTATTATGCTTTATTGATAGTAAAATAATTTTTATATATAATATTTATTTTAATAATATTGTTGAACATGATGCATTCGATGATTGTTTAATATAACATGTTGAGTAGTTGAATATGACAGACAAAAAATAGTCTTCTATGCACATGGGATTGCACTAATAAAAAAAAGTATGTAGTTGAACAAATATATTAATATTATTAATATATTAAAATAAATGTGCATATATATAGGTTATTTAATTTATTCACTTCACTTACATTTCATTTTAATATATTGAGTATAATTAAGGAAATTTTACCATCTTTGACAAAGTAAGTAAACAAATATTGTACAACTTATCACCTTATAATCTTTATAACATTTGATGCAATCTTAGGCTTTATTTAAATATAAGTTTTAGAAATTTTAAAATTTTGAAAATAGTAAAAAGATTAAATAAAAATAAATATTTAATATAATATAAATAGTTACCATGAATATAAGATGGCCCGAAAACAATTGATCGATGTGAATTTGATATATTTCAAATTTGATTACAATCCTCAAAATTATTTATTTTTAAATTCATATTTCATCTCTTAAATTTACTCACACTTTATTTTGTCTGTCCATCAAATTTAACTCATTGTTAATTATGGCAAAGTCAAATTTTCAACATCTAATTATTATTCTCCATTCAACACTTATTACTTATAATTATCACTATCTTTATTACATTTTCGCTATTCATCATTATTAATTTCTAACTAAATTGCCAAAATATCTTCAACCACATTTTATTTTATCGTTTTTTCAATAAAATATTTATTTTTTTAATCTTTGTGTCAGACAAAAATAAACTATTTTACCGGACGAAGAGTATTGATATTAAAATACTTCCAATTAAATGATACTTATTGATTATGATACAATAAACTAAATAAATATTCATTTCAATTAACCATCAATCACGAGCAAAAATTACTCGAATTGGTATCGTGGTATTCATTATATTTTCCCCTCGCAATACATAGATATTTTTTTTATTTGAAATATGATGTATAAAATTTTATTTTCAATTGAAAGCATCCATTAACAAAAACCCAATTCTTGATTAGTTTTGGATAAACTCAAAGTAGATTGTTTTTGGATGTTTTGAGTGTTTACATGATACAAAACTAATTTTTATTTCACTTCTTCTAATTAATAATCGCTACAAAAAAAATAGTATATTTGTAACGGAATTCTGTCGCTAAAATTCACGTAGCTAACTAATTCCATCTTTAATTCCGTCTATAATTTTATTAGTAACGGAAAAAATGGATTTGGGAAGGAAAAAATTTCGTTAAAAAATGATATTTTATTGTAGTGAATATATACACACACATCTGTAGAATATATCATTATCTAAAGTTGGGCACACCTAAACCCTTAAAAAAATTGGAAAAGCTAAAGATAGGAATATTAATTAAAGTGGATATTATGTGGGTCGAAGTTGATCCATTCTGTCGATTAATCCTTCATTTTATATATAAATATATATATATATATATATATTACTACTTCTTTAGCTTTAATTTTGTTAGTATTGTTCAAGGGTTGTATTGGATGCCATGCCCTCTTATGACCTCATTTGTTCTGTAAAGAAACTAAATCAATTAACAAAGAATGTCGGAAAAGGTACGATTCAATGAAGGTTTATTTTATTATATATATATATATATGTATATATGAAGATATGTTTGGTGGAAAGGCAATATAAAACGATAGGGTTGATAGGTTTTGGGATAGAAGATTGAAGGGAATCACCAATGGTGTGTTTGTTTGGGGTTTGGATTTTGAGTTGGGATTTGAATAGTAAAAATTTGAATTTGAATACTTGTATGATGTGATATAAATAAGTGTTGATGTGATGTTTTGAATATAAAATTGATTTTTATTATAATATAAAAAAATAAAAAATAGGTGTTTGATTTGATATTTTTTGGAAAAAAGATTGGATGAATAGTATATTTAAAATCCAATCCCCCAAACAAACACACCTTAAGTACAATTTAAAGTAAAAAATATCAAAATTTTATAGTTCAGGACATAACGGATCCTCTACGTCCCATTAGTGTGTTTATTTATAAGATTTTGATTTTGGATTTTTGTTTTGAACAATAAAATTTTGAATTGAAATAATTGTTTGATACAATGTTCTGAATCTAAAATTTAATTTTAGTGTAATATAATGAATAAAAAATAGATATTTTATTTGATATTTTTAAATAAAAAAAATTGGAATAGTAAAATCGAAAATTAAATCCCACGAATAGACACACTCAATTGTAACTCTGTTTACATCCATATCACTTTAAGAAAAAAAAAGTTGTCCTGTAAAATGGACCGATGGTGTAGGGATTGAACTTGTGACTGTGACCTGCCATGTATGATTCGTCTAATGTGACTTTTCCGTCGCAAATTAGTAAGGAATTTTGCAAGGGAAAGTGTAATTCATTGCAACGGTAATTTACGATAGAAAAATATCCAATTGCAATCTTGTGATTTTATTTATTTATTTATTTTCTTTTGGTAGTGAAATTGGCTCAACTAATTAATCATGTATATGTATATATATATATTTATAAATTATAATTGGATCAACAAACTGATGATGATATGATCTGATCTGATCTGATCAGATTTGTCCCCATCAATATTCATAATCAAATCATCGTTTTTATTATATATATATACACATATGGACATACAAACGCACGAACACAAATATAAATATGGTTATTATGTATTTTTCACATTTGGACACAAACGCACGAAGACAAAAAAAATAAAAAATAAAAAATA